TGCCGCGCGCGCCTTCTAGCGCTCTCATTAAATCGAATGAAATAGCACCACAAAGCGCCACATTGAGGAAATCAATGATGTTTCTGTACCATCACCGGTAGGATTTACAAATGTCTCCATTGTTTATTTCAGAGCTAGTATGTAAACAATTATGCATAATCACTAAATGCATTTTTCTACCTTACCAACAATGCATATATATAAATACTAATTGAGAGGTAAACTTTTACTCTAATTTCACAATAAATTATACCATAAAATATTTTTAGTATTCAAGGCATGAAAAATACATTGCTGTTGTACAGTATAGAAATTGTGAGAATTCTTTTAGTGGACACTCTTGTGTCGGAAAGATGCAGTCATCTTTTGCTGACAGATTAAGAAGATGTAGTCATCTTTGCTTAATCAGTTGAAGCTGAAAGTTTTCTGATGGTTATTACACAGCAAATTATATCTAAATTAGAGTAGCTTGAAAACTCCAATATATATATTATAATTTTACCATCAAGTACTGTTCAAGACATAAAAAATATATTGCTGCTGTACAGTATAAAAATTGTGAGAATTCTTTTAGTGGACACTCTTGTGTTAGAAAGATGCAGTCATCTTTTGCTGACAGATTAAGAAGATGTAGTCATCTTTGCTTAATCAGTTGAAGCTGAAAGTTTTCTGATGGTTATTACACAGCAAATTATATCTAAATGAGAGTAGCTTGAAAACTCCAATATATATATATATTATAATTTTACCATCAAGTACTGTTCAAGACATAAAAAATATATTGCTGTTGTACAGTATAAAAATTGTGAGAATTCCTTTAGTGGACACTCTTGTGTCAGAAAGATGCAGTCATCTTTTGCTGACAGATTAAGAAGATGTAGTCATCTTTGCTTAATCAGTTGAAGCTGAAAGTTTTCTGGTGATTATTACACAGCAAATTATATCTAAATGAAAAGTACCTAGAAAACTCCAATATATTTTATAACTTTACCATCAACTACTGTTCAAGACATATAAAATATATTGCTGTTGTACAGTATAGAAATTGTGAGAATTCCTTTAGTGGACACTCCTGTGTCAGAAAGATGCAGTCATCTTTTGCTGACAGATTAAGAAGATGTAGTCATCTTTGCTTTATCAGTTGAAACTAAGAGTCGTATCACAACTATTGCACAGCATATCTTATCAAAGACAAACATTTATGTATAAAGTACATGTAACATATAATTTCGCACAGGGTGCACTAATTTATTAAATACTAATTATATTTGCCATCATATTCTCTAGTCCTTATAAATTAATGCTCATTGTAAGTCTTATTCTGAACCAATTTGCAAAATTATTACAATCTGACTGATGCAATACAGTGTAAGTGATCGTATTTGTTGTTTTCTCTATCAAAGACCAGTTAATTTAATGTGATATTTTATAGGTACTGTTATAATGCAATCAATTTATTGTGGATAATGTTTTGATAATGCAATAGTTATGTTTGCTTGTCCTTTCCTTACACTGATCTTAGCCCTAACCATAACCCCAAACCTCAACCTCCCAAATTTTGTTTTCCCACCAATACAAATGAGCCTAAAAAATTTTAAATTCAAACAGCAGCTACTGTACTGGTCCTACTGATGTCCACTAAACTACAGTCTCATGTACAGGTGATGCCAGTACTTGAAAAAAGGGTATTTTTTGGCACCTCTCTTGGTTATAACAAAGTATACTGTTTAAATATATATATATATATATATATATATATATATATATATATATATATATATATATATATATATATATATATATAAACCTTTTATATATATAAACCTGTTAACCTTTTACTAGTGTTAAAGTGCATGTGTACGGCAAAACATTTTCAGATAAACTGTTTTCTGATTACAATGACAAGACATTGTGCGGTAGCGACTTCATACAAGGCCCCAAAAATTTTTTGTCCTATACGTGATCAATAGAACTTGTTAAGGAAAAAGGGGCAAGGAAAAAAGTTCCCCCGCACGCAGCTACCGGATTTTATTGTGTACAGACATTGGCCTTATTGTATGGCTGTTACAGTAGAATGACTAGGATTTTAGTATTAGCGAAAGCAGTACTGAGAAAATTGCTTTGACAGGGTCAGATATTTGACTCCCTTTCTATATGCGTTGATACTTATTGCGCACTGCCTTATAGCTTCACGCAGCGAGCATTTTTAAATTAATAACTTGTTAATAACAGAATTTCAACCGAGTACCTACTGCGAGTAATGAAACTAATAGTGGATTGATGACAGTTTTTGCAATTATATTTAATGAGATAATGCGCTCTGATTTCCTGACTTTTGCGGATTCAATCCGCAAAAGTTGCTTTTTCCAGGCCGTGCGGGTCGTCATGCGGTTGTATGAAAGCCGGATAGCGCTATCCACCGGATAGTGGTTTTTTCAATTGCTTCAAAATCGCCCGTTATTTGCTACAACTTTGATTAAATCTTAGTATTCCTAAATTGAAGATCCTCTTTAATAATGGTTGCTTTCAAGCTGAAATTTTATCCCCTTTCGAGCATTTTTAGAACGGTTGAAAAAATCACTATTCGGTGGATAGCGCTATCCGGCTTTGATACAACCGGCCCCAGGAATCTATCTTGCGATGTTTTAACCATGTCCATGCATGGGAAATCCGGAATTTTATTTGCTCACAAAGTAAACAAACCACGTATAGATAGATATTCTCAGCAGACTTTAATTCGCATTGCCATTGCCATATATGCATTGTCAGGATTTAGATCCACATCTAAGACTAAAGATTCGAGCAAATTACTGTTTGTCCTCGAAGAAAACGCGATAACTTATATAGTACTTATATAGAATCATGGCTTATAATATATGTCGATATAAATATTCTTACCTTCAGTAAATCATAAAGGTTTTCATTTCCCAATTAAAGACAGAGTAAGATAGTGTAAAACTGTAACGTTCTTTACACAAAGCTTAAAGATAACTAACGCACGTCTGCATTGTAAAACCAATATAAATTAAGAGCAATATTAATTATTTAGCCGATGGCGATGTTGCACTTATAAAGGAACCATTTTTTACGACAATTCGCAATGGATACGAAGCTATATAGCTATACAAAATTTGATTGGTTCCAATGCATTGCCATTGGCGACAGAAATCATCGTTAAAATCGTTCTGTGTACCTCAGTCGTAATCGTATTAGGCTTAAAATACAAATAGACTATCCATAATATACCTCAGTAAATTATCTCATTTACTTATCTTGATTCAAATTACAAACTTAACTTAATTCATCAAAGGAAAGCGACCCACTTAAACAGACATTAGTGTCTTCATGCAAAACATTTTGTTATCCTCAAGTTTCGTGCATGAATATAACTCTTTTTCACTGACCCATGCAAGTCCCCCCCCTCTTGCCTTGGACTTCGCCCACGAACAACGAAAACAACTTAAAACTTTTATGTCAGTACTACGTGTATTTCGTGACTTTCGTTTTGGAAATGAAAATTTATTTTAATATCTCAGTACTTTAGACGTCCTTGCTGAAAGCAAAACACAACAGTAATTGAGTATTCTATTTCTTTCTCGAAAATAATTTATTAAGTTAAACAAGCAGGAACAAGGAATCAGCAGATGTTTCGGACAAACGCCGTCCAAGATAAACTATAAACAACAAAATATATGAACTAAGAGGATCGCATAGACAAGTAATTTTCCTTAACAGTAACAAGTTTCCTATCCAGTTATTCTTGGGTGACACCATTGTCATGCAGACAATTATTTCTGGTCGCTTGTGCATTTCACGAAAAATTTGTCCGGTTAATTTTTCCTCGTATGCACGAGGCTTTATGATGAAGCTGCTTGGTCAAAGTTTACTGGATGTACACACATTTAATAAAATTTAAACGTTAAAGCAAATTAGAGAAAAAAGAGTTAATATACCGCAGAGTAAATAATAATCATACTGGGTCAACCCCAAGGTCTTGTTTTGTAACAACATGCAGGATTGCGAAATTGACCTTTAATTATAGGTGAAGACCGCTATATTGGACTAAAAATTTAAGTGAAGGCAAATAATATAAGTTTGACAATCCAATATGGCGGAGTAATATATGAAATATCAAAAATATTGTTCAATGAAATAATTAAAATTTGAGATACAATTGTGATGTCCTGTTCTTAACTTCTAGAGCAATTGAACAACAAAGATATTAAACAATGATTATACCCAGCCCAAATCGTCGTGCGAAATAATTTGCCAACGTTGTTGGAAGCGGGTTCGCTTCTCAAAGCACCTGCTCTGTACTCCGCCATTGTTGTCATTGGCGAGCGAATACTTGCCGTCTTGTCGTCTGAATTCACAAAACCTCTTCCTTTCAGGTTCTACTCGATGTATTCCCAGCGTAAGATGAAATGTCTTACGCGAGGATTTATTTCACTACGAAGAACATTGTTTAATAAAGACGTGAAATATTTTCAATCATAGTACGAAACAAACTTCATATTAAGTATGCAAGCGAAGTAAACTAGAATCACACTTGGCAAAGGTTGGCAGATTGTTTGAATAAAGAAGCCAAACACCTCATGCTATATCTTTTGTATTTTTCTTTTGGCCTTTTGTTTCACGATGACATTAACGTTGATATAACTCTCGTTTATTCTGCTAATCGACTGACCTGCACTATTCCTAAGAATCGAGACACCGTAGTATTTTTAAAACATATTGTATTTCATTACCTAATGACCAAAGACATGCAGTAAAAAACAGACACAGTCTTGTAAAAATATGCTCTAGAAAACAAGCTGAAATCACTTGCTAAAGTATACTTGTTCTATCATTCTACTCATGTTTATGTATATTCAAACTTGTGCAAGATGAAGAGAATACGAAATTTCTTAAGTATAATCTCCTTTGTTTTTGAACTGCACAATAGAGTTTAGTCACTCTAGGAATCAAAAGTAGTGCTGTTAAAAATCTAATAAACAAAGTCCATAAAAAATAAGATATGTGAACGGTAAAGCTGTCTCAAAGTCAAACCATATAGTTCCCAATATATCCTGTCATGTCCCCTATAGATTTTGACATTTACCTTATAAATGCCACTGATATCCCTACTGATATCACAAACGATCACATCGACATTATTTTATAAACTATGCTGAATGTGAATACTGCTGAGAATAGTCAACTCCAAAAACTTAATAGTTACATATTTGCCACAACGATTTGCAATGTTCATCATTAAGAGGCTTGCAACGTTCGTCCATCAATCATTCCTGTAGAAATATGTCACACCAGGAGCTGGTTTAAAGTTTTCTGAGCCCAAACGTTCAATGAAATCAAAGAGCTCACAACTCAATGAGGAGGAAATGAAATTAAATGATCGACAATCTTTCTCATTGAAGCACTTCATGCCGCATTGTGCAACATGTTTAACATGAAATTCTTTAAAAACAAAACCCTCGAGCTTGTGATTCTCAACACGAGTTGTAGACATGCCAACGCAAGCTGAAGAGAAAATAACAGAACTTGCAGTGGCGGGAATCAGTGGCGGGAATCAGTGGCGGGAATCAGTGGCGGGAATCAGTAGCAGGAATCAGTGGCGCAAATCAGTGGCGTGAATGGGTAAACTATAGGGTAAACTTACTAAACTATGCCGTTAGTAAAATGGATCACAGATTAGTACATACCAGCCTGAGAAGATGATGCAACACTTGCTAAAAATAAAAAACAAATTTTTAAAATTTTAAAGGAACAATTGACTAAACAATATTGCGATTAACTGTTCCTGAAAAGGCAGAAAATATTTACAGATGTTCCTACCTTTACCATTTGAAGTTGTGCTGGTCAGAAGATGACTCAACGAAGAAGTTGCTACGAGAAAATTAAAGATATTTAGTTATTGTAAGAGATTTTTTAGTTGATTTATTGTTCATGAAAGAATTTAACTATACAATCACGAGATATAAAGAATATGTTTACACATGTTCTTACCTTTACCATATGAAACTGTGCTCGTTGCAAGATGACTCAAAGAGGAAGTTGCTACGAGGAAAATTGGAGATGTTTTGTTCTTATAAGAGATCTTATAGTTGATTTATTGTTCATGAAAGGATTAAACTATACAATCACGAGATATAAAGAATATATTTACACATGTTCTTACCTTTACCATGCGATGTTGTGCTCGTTGGAAGATGACTCAAAGAAGAAGTTGCTACGAGGAAAATTGAAGATGTTTAATTCTTATAAGAGGTCTTATAGTTGATTTATTGTTCATGAAAGGATTAAACTATACAATCACGAGATATAAAGAATATATTTACACATGTTCTTACCTTTACCATGCGATGTTGTGCTCGTTGGAAGATGACTCAAAGAAGAAGTTGCTACGAGGAAAATTTAAGATTTTTAGTTCTTATAAGAGATCTTATAGTTGATTTATTGTTCATGAAAGGATTAAACTGTACAATCACGAGATATAAAGAATATATTTACACATGTTCTTACCTTTACCATGCGATGTTGTGCTCGTTGGAAGATGACTCAAAGAAGAAGTTGCTACGAGGAAAATTTAAGATTTTTAGTTCTTATAAGAGATCTTATAGTTGATTTATTGTTCATGAAAGGATTAAACTGTACAATCACGAGATATAAAGAATATATTTACACATGTTCTTACCTTTACCATGTGAAGTTGTGCTCGTTGGAAGATGACTCAAAGAAGAAGTTGCTACGAGGAAAATTGAAGATGTTTAGTTCTTATAAAAAGTCGTTCGTGCATGGAATATATACATGCATGCATTCCTACCTGTATCGTGTTGAGATGTTTGTTTAGGATGTTGACTCGACGAACGAAGTGCTGCTAGAAAAACTAGAAAATTAAAAAAGTGAATTTCTGCCCCAAAAATGGACAGTGGATATATAGGGACAACTTAACGAATAAATGAGAGATCCCATTTATCATAAACGGATTTATCCCGCGAGATAAAATGATAAAGAATTACAGTAATCCACATATTTGCACCTTTAACGTTCGCAGATGTTTGTGTTCGAGGCGGACTCGTTGAAGGAGGTGCTGCAAGAGAAATCATGACTTTTGTTAATTTTAGATGTCAATTTGAGCTAAAAAAAACAAAAAAAGCTGTTGCTGGGAGAATAAAATGATTAAATAATATATAATGTGATATAAACATTATTATTCTTCATTAGACTTTATATAATCTTTCTTTGCAAAAGAAATAGCAGCATTTACATATACCAGAATGCAATGTGGCAATTTTTCGCGGGTGATTTTAAAAGACTTGAGATGATGATATCACCCGCGATTTCTTCTAATGACAAGGGGTGAAAATATTTCTTCGAGCGCATATCTGACGTATTCAAACTCATACGCAACTTACCGAACGTCTTTCTGCACCACACATCTTTTGCCCGGCTGTTCTCAACCCAAATCCATTGTGCATTTGATTTAATGTGTTTTATTTTGCCACCGTTACCTATATGCCATGGCGTTCTCGTATCATCATTTCTCCCATATCTAACGGCTGGTTTCCATGCATAATAGGAACTCCTAATATCACAAGAGAACCCGCAATCTTTCATATCAGCACATTCCCATGAATCATTCGTGACCACGTTATTGTTGAAGGAGGCGAGAATCCCACCAACATTGCCCGGGTCATTATGGGCTTTTATTAACACACTTCTCGTGTCACCTGGTAAAGTAAACTGTTGAGGTGTCTGCCAGTCGTTATTAACACTGCAGTTTTTACCAGTGTCGGTGATTAATCTCCCAGAGTTGTCAATAGTTATGTCGACTGACATGTCATCTATGGCGATACCTTCAAAAGAAAAAAGATTCGTAAAACTTACGTGGAAGCATCACGCATGACACGCATGAACATTTCGTCAAAGAAAACATCGTCTGCTGTCTGCGCTCTGTGCTAGAATTATGACACTTTACAGGTAACCCAGGAAACAAATTTAACTGTTTCACTTATTCGTAACTGACAAAAGGATACCTGGGGTTACAAAAAATAGCGTTTTTGCGGACTGGAAGAAAACTTAAAATGCTTTTGAAAATTGTTGTTCGCCAAATGTGCCCCTGTAAAAATAACATTCTATTCCATGATGCTTTGCAACACAAAATGAAAATGGCCGAAAGGTCGCTTTTCTCACCTTTGTCGTCTGCTGATGATGTTTCCGAAGAAAAAAAGATGTTTGGTTTAATGGTTGTGTAAAGGCTTCGTGTATATTCTTTTTTTATACGTAATGTAAGCAATGTAAATTTAAACGCAAGCGGTAAAGTGGACCGTATAGGAATTAATTGCAAGAAATTGTCTTAAATAGTCGATTTCATTGTTCTTCGGTGGGTTAGACAACAAATCTTCATTGCGCAAAAGATAGCTGTGTGTGCATGATGTTATATAGGATGAACTAAATAATAATAAAAAAATGTTATTTAAAAAGCATAAAAGCATTTGAGTTAAATGAAAAGGACTTTTTGCCGCATTTAAATTGATCGATCAGTCAAGCCATATTAATTGAATGATTTATACGTTTCACGTTTTTAAAAAAAATGTTTGGTTTTTCTAATTGTATTTATATACCGTTAAGGCGTTAACATCAAATTGAAAATTCAGAGAATAAGAGAAAAAGTTCGTCTCAGGCAGGATTAAAACTTGCAGCTACGTAGCCTTTAAGCAAACTTGTATACTCAGGACGAGGTTTATAGAACTCTGAGTTGAATGTAGAGCAAATGTTTGTGACGATCTTCGCACTCGACATGACAGAACACAGCGCGTGTCTTTGGAAACGATGCGTCATGTTAATACAAAAAAGTGGGATGTTTTTTAATCGCCATCAAGCCAGCACAACCATGCAATCTCGATGCAAAAGTTCTCCATTACCAGAAATTCAGGACATTAATTATCATAATGCCAGGATTTCGCAATCAAAGATGGCTGCCTTGTTATTATAGAATTATATAAGGCACGAGACAAAATTTGGGGAAACGGGCAGAAACTCAGTACTTTATGACATTTTTTTCATATTTTTATATTACCTTTAACAGATTCCCCAGTAATGTCATTTCAGCAACTAACCATTATATATACTTGCAATATAACCATGGCATACAACTAGTAAGAATGGCAAAATTCTACTGTTTTACAAAATTTCTCGTTTTTTTCTTTATATAGTCATGCAATCAAATTACCATGGGTTGCTGAAAAGTTATTGTGCCAAATCATTGCACGCCAGAAATAGAGGCATAATTCGTGAGAAAGAGAAATTGGGGCTAATGGCGCCACTTACCAGCATTTATGATTGTTGTTCGAAGGAGCCAAACCAAGGCAGATATTGCTATTGATCTTTTGTATTTTTGTTGCCACATTTTTTGCTCTTAACCAGATGAGACAAATATTTTTTCAACAAAAATACTTTAACGTTTCTTAGAAATTTAGGTCCAGCAAATTTTCAGCTTTCTACGGATAAAAGATCAGGTTTTAAACCAACTTCATTTAAACAGTATAATGAATTAAAATAACACACAATACAAAACTATATATGCATGTATGTTACAGCCGCGGGATTGCAAGAAATGTTTCACTTTTTGGCTCAATGCAGTTAGAAAACTAAACAATCTAATTTCAACTGATGAAATACAATCAAATTTTAAAAGCAAACTTAAATTTTTCGCGTGTGGTTTTCATATTAAGTAGCATCGTTACTTCTAGTGGAAGTGGAAGAAGGTCAGTCTTATTAGTAACTGTTGCTTAAGCATGCAGGCTTAGGAATATTATGGATGTATAGCTCCATGTGTTTTCTCGTAAGTTCATTGCAATAACAATTATTAAACTCATTGCAATCGCATAAAGGTTTCAGAAGACAGTCTACCTTCAAAGGAAAAAGATTATATAGAGACCTAGAGTGCATGTTGTAGGTCCCCGCGCAGCGCTGCCAGTTCCGCGTGCAGCAGTTACGTGAGCACTTTATGTAAATATAGTTTAGTTGTTTGTAAATACGTCACAAGGACACATTGTTGATTCGGCACAAAGACACGTTGTAATGTAATATAGCACTATTAATTAACGCTTGCATTGAATTTTGATACAACTTTTGAGTCAGATCGTAGAGGAAGCATGAACTCACGCTGTAAATAGAATCTTTAAATAAACGATAGAATACAGTCCCCTGAGTGGTTTTTTACGTGGACCAGTGTGCGCGGGATCGATTGGGGATTCTGCAAAACAGTGGTCCTTAGAACCGGATCTGTGAAAGGTGAACGAGGCTGCGGACAAAGAGCGAGTGATATTTGCGCTGCCGTCGTGTGTAAAAGATTTAGCGTGAAGTTGAACAACGAAAGGTATGGACGATCTGACGAGGAAAAGGCGGGTGAGAGGAGCTCATCGGTGAACAAAGACTGCCATTGTTGACGACGCCAGACGAAGGAAACCTAGACCAGAGCCGCATATCGACAGCCAGTACGGGAAAGATCGTCAGAGCAAAGCTTCCGAAACTAAAGCTTAAGAACTTCAACGGTAAAGTATGTGAGTGGCCCGAGTTTTGGGACGGGTTTTCAAGCTCGATAGACAACAATGACGCATTGTCTGACGTTGACAAGTTTGCATATTTGCGCGGATATTTGGAAGGACCAGCGAAGTCTACAATTGCCGGATTAGCGTTAACAGGGACAAACTACAACTGTGCAGTGGAATTGCTTAAGAAACGGTTCGAAAAGAAAAGCATAGTTCAACGAGCACACGTGAATGAACTCATACAACTGCCGGCAGTTTACAAAGAAAGGGACACGCAGAGACTACGGAAGTTGTTTGACAGCTGCGAAACGAATAACCGCGCCTTGAGAGCCCTGGGGGTGAACGAGAACTCGTATTCCGCTATTGTTGTTCCGACGATCATGGAGAAGCTGCCCGAGCAGTTTCGCTTGACTATTACGAGAGGGCAGAACTTCCTGGAGTGGTCAATGGAGGAAATGCTACAAGCCTTTGAGAAAGAGCTCGAACTACGTGAAGCGCACGATGCGGTGGGATCGAAGTCGGGTCGAGAGTACGAAAGAAACGATGGGAGTTCGGCGTCGGGTAGAAAATATGGTCAACAACATGGAACTGCATCCACGTTAATAGCGAGTGAAAGGAAGGAAACTGTGCTTTCTGCCTGAAGATCCACAAACACGAGAACTGTGAGGGAGTAAAGGATCCGAAGACACGAAAGAGTTTGGCTCGCAAATACGGTAGATGTTTGTTTGTTTGTCTAAGGGTCATAGAGCCAGTAGTTGTAAGGTCGAGACAAATGTAGTGTTTGTGATGGGGCTCATCATGTTGCACTGTGCGAAATGAGTCCTAAGAGCGAGGGTAAGCATGACGAAATACCCAAGCCTAATGACGAATGTAAAAACGTACCCAATAACACGAATGTGCATGTGACTACTCCTAATAGTAACTTGCATGCTGGAACTGGTAGCCTGGTTGCCTTGCAGACTGCACGTGGCGTTTTAAGGGGGGAAAGGGTGGTTAAGGTGCGGGTCCTCTTTGACGCGGGAAGTCATCGTTCCTTTGTTACTTCCAAAGCAGCTGGTCTCGCGAATCCCAGGGGTATAAGAAGGGAATTGTTAGGAATTAATACGTTCGGTCAAAAATGCGTAAAAGCCGAGCACAGGGAAGTGGTTGAATTAAAGCTTGAACCTCTTAACGGAAATAAGGTTATCACACTGGAAGCATTTGTAGTGCCGGAAATATGTAGCATAGGAAATAGCCATGTAGAGATAGCGCGGAGGGAGTATAAACATCTGGAAGGTATATGGTTTTCAGATGTTTCTAAGTCAGAAGATGAGTTAGAAGTAGATGTTCTGATAGGGGCAGACTACCTTTGGAGCTTTCAGACAGGGACAACCAAGAGAGGTAAATCAGGAGAACCTGTTGCTATAGAAACAGAATTAGGGTGGGTTTTATCAGGACCGCTGAGAGTACAAGACATTGAGAGAGCGGAGCCAGTCCAAGTGAATTTTGTAGCACAGAGATTGAGTAGTGAAGACAGTTTGGAGAGTAATGTGCAAAAATTATGGAGTTTTGAAGGGTTAGGCATTAGTGAGGAAGATAAGGTACATGAAGAGTTTTTAGATGAAATATCATTTACAGGAAGTAGATATTCAGTCAAACTGCCCTGGAAGGAGAGCCATAAGAAGTTGCCTGACAACTATGCAAATAGCTTAAGTAGAATGAAGGGTCAGCTGCGACGACTGAGGAAAGAGCCAGCATTGTTAGCAGAGTATGATTCTATCATCAGAGACCAGGTAGAGCGAGGGATAGTGGAGCCAGTATCTGCATTAGAGAAGGTTGAAAGGGTTCATTATTTACCACACCAGGCAGTTATTCGCAGGGAGGCAGTGACCACTAAACTCCGGATCGTCTATGACGCATCATCCAAGGAAGGTAAGTCTGGGACATCGCTTAACGACTGCCTACATGTTGGGCCTTCTCTCAATCCATTATTATACAGCATATTAATACGGTTCAGAGAAAATAGGATTGCTTTAGTTGGTGACATAGAAAAGGCATTTTTGAATGTTGAAGTAGATAAGGCGGATAGAGATTGTTTGAGATTTTTGTGGGTCAATGATATAGAAAGTGATAAGTTGGAGACAGTTGTTTATAGGTTTTGTAGAGTAGTTTTTGGAGTGAATGCATCACCATTTCTACTGAATGCAACCTTAAGGCATCATTTAACAAAGTATAACGAAATAGATGCTGCATTTGTAAGAAAGTTGCAGGAAAGTTTTTACGTTGACGACCTGGTCAGTGGTGAGAGTACGGTAGAGAAGACCTTTGAACTTTATGATAAGGCTAAGACAAGAATGGCACAAGGGGGTTTTAGATTAAGGAAGTGGTTGACCAACAGTGAGGTGTTAAGGAGTAAACTAGAGATTCACGAAAAAGATCAGGGTTCGTCAGAACAAAGCATCAATGATCAGGAAACATATGCTAGGTTATCTTTGGGAGCAGTAGGGGGTGAGTCAAAGGGCCATAAGGTTTTAGGGCAGGTGTGGGATAACCACAAGGACGAACTGAAATTTGAAATTTCCAAGGTGGGAGAAAAGGCAGAGACGTTATCGCCAACAAAGCGGAACCTCCTGAGCATTTTAGCCAGTTTGTTCGATCCTCTAGGGATAATAAGTCCATTGATAGTTAGTGCCAAGATCTTATTCCAGGAGGTTTGTAATAGTAAGACGGGTTGGGACGACAGCTTTAAGGAAGAGCCTTTAAGAAAGTGGGAAATCTGGTATAGGGATTTGATTGAGACCAAGGAAATCACTATTCCTCGATGCATATACCAACATCCAGCGGAAGAGGTTTTAGGGTGCACATTACATGGGTTTGGCGACGCTAGTAAGAAAGCATATTGTGCGGTAGTATATGTTGTTTATTATACAAATGTAGGAAGTTATGTCCGCATGTTAACATCAAAGGTAAGAGTAGCACCTCTTAAAACAACTAGCATTCCAAGGTTAGAGTTAATGTCTGCGAGGCTCTTAGCGCAGTTACTAAAGTCAGTGAAAGATTCATTAGAAAACCAGGTTAGTATAGATAATACGAAGTTGTGGCTTGATAGCATGACAGCACTCTACTGGATAATGAACAACGGTGAGTGGAAACAATTCGTCCGCCACAGAGTAAATGAAATCCTGAAATTAACAAACAAGGAGGATTGGGGACATTGTCCTGGGGTGGAAAATCCCGCGGATATAGGGTCTAGGGGTGTAGTTGCTTCACAATTGAAGGATAACAAGCTATGGTGGGTGGGGCCTGATTGGCTTATTAGGTCTAAGGAGGAGTGGCCGAAATTTGAGGCTGCTGCCAAAACAAGTACGGTCTTAGAAGAAGAACGAAAGTCTTCCGTAATGGTCGTAGCTAGTAGTAAAGAGTTAGCTAGTATAAGCAAAGTGATAAATCTGGAGGATTATGGGACAGCGGAACGACTTTTCAGAGTAACAGCATGGGTACTTAGGTTTGGGTTCAATGCACGAGCAAAGTCTAAGGGCATGGAAAAGCGCTGTGGAGAATTGACAGTAGAGGAGCTTGACGAGGCGGAAAATAGATGGATTAAACAGGCTCAGGCAGAGTTAAAGGAGGCTAAAAAGTACGCCCAGATTAGTAACAGTCTAGGCTTGATGGAAGAAGGAGGTATCATAAGATGTAAGGGTAGACTGCGTAACTCTGAGCTAGAGTACAACACGAAACACCCAATCATTATTCCCAAGGATAATAGATTAACTGAGCTGATTGTCAGAAAATGTCACAGTGAAGTGCACCATTGTGGGGTTAGGGCAACCTTGGGCAGGCTAAGGACGAAATATTGGGTCGTGAAGGGAAGGCAAATGGTAAAGCGAGTTATAGGTAAATGCGTCACCTGTAAGAAATTAGAAGGAAGGGCATATGGGGGGAGACAGATGGCAGATTTACCAGGCTTTCGAGTGAAGGAAGCTGCTCCTTTTTCTAATGTGGGAGTAGATTTTGCAGGTCCATTGTTTGTTAGGTGTTGCACCAAGGCATCCAAGAAGGCGTATATCGCATTATTTTCCTGTTGTGTGACTCGAGCAATACATTTAGAGCTAGTGCGTGATTTGTCTGCGGAGACATTTCTGTGTTGCATGAGAAGATTTGCAGCGAGGAGAGGAATGCCGAGCCTAATAGTGTCAGACAACGCCAAGACGTTTAAGGCAGCAGAGAGAGCAGTAAAGAAGTTGTTTAATCAACCTAAAGTAAAAGCAGAATTATTAACGAAGCGAGTAACTTGGAGGTTTAACTTAGAAAGATCGCCTTGGTGGGGAGGGTTTTTCGAGCGAATGGTTAGGAGTGTTAAACGATGCCTCAGGAAGGTTTTAGGCAATGCCAAATTAACAGTAAATGAACTTAACACAGTATTAGTAGAGATAGAAGGCACATTAAATTCCAGACCATTGACAGAAGAATATGAAGAGTTCGAAGGCGATGTATTAACGCCATCACACTTAATTTACGGAAGAGCAATTAATTTCATACCACGGAGAGAGGTAGTTAGAGAGGAAAGTAGTTGTGGAGAAAGATTCAAATATATTACATTGAAATTACAACATTTCTGGACCAGATGGCAAAGTGAGTATCTCATAGGGTTACGAGAGTTTCATAAAAGTGGTAATCTAAAGGCAAGAAGTTTGAAGGAGGGCGAAGTAGTTGTAGTTTATGGAGAAGGAGAGAAGCGAGGCAAGTGGAAACTAGGGAAGGTAGAACAGCTAATTTTAGGAAATGACAGCGAGGTTAGGGGAGCTAAGTTAAGAATAGCAGGAAAGGGTAAACCTGTTTACCTGAAAAGACCGGTGCAGAAACTTTACCCGTTGGAAATTCAAGCTCGACCGGGTGGGAACGGGACGGAAGGGAATTCCCCTTCAGGTGAGGCAGAGGGTTCCTTGCATGATCTGCATTAGCGTCCGAGACGAGCTGCTGCTGAGATTTCAAAAGCGAAGACAAGCCGGGGCGATGCTTGATTCATAGACGTGTATGAATCAAGGTGGGTGGGATGTTGTAGGTCCCCGCGCAGCGCCGCCAGTTCCGCGTGTAGCAGTTACGTAAGCACTTTATGTAAATATAGTTTAGTTGTTTGTAAATACGTCACAAGGACACATTGTTGATTCGGCACAAAGACACGTTGTAATGTAATATAGCACTATTAATTAACGCTTGCATTGAATTTTGATACAACTTTTGAGTCAGATCGTAGAGGAAGCATGAACTCACGCTGTAAATAGAATCTTTAAATAAACGATAGAATACAGTCCCCTGAGTGGTTTTTTACGTGGACCAGTGTGCGCGGGATCGATTGGGGATTCTGTTTTGTGGATTTTATTTTTAGCGCAGGCTATTTCGTGAAGTTTGAGGACATTGTTATACCAATGTTTCGCTTCTGATATAGAAAGTTTAAATGTAGGCTATACGACGTTCAACTTTTTTAATAAGATACTTTAATTTATAGTTTTTTATGATACAGAAAGTTCAAAAACGAAAATATTTTGCACCATGCGGTAGTTTATACATTTGGCCTTTACTAACAAAAAAACAAAGTCCAATAAAAGACTATAAACTACGGCCAAGCAAATTATTGTTTGTTCTCGCAAAAAACGTAAAAACTTAATAGCACAATTACTGATAAGAAATCTTACTCTTACTTTGCAAAACGTTAGCCGAATCTTGGCTTGTAATATATGTCGATATTAATATTCTTTTACCTTCAGTATAATAATCATAAGAGGTCTTTCTTCTTTTCCAAATTAAAGACAGGGTATAAGATAGCGTAACGTTCTTTACACAAAGCTTAGAGATAACTAACGCACGTCTGCATTGTAAAACCAATGTTAATTTAGAGCAATATGAATTATTAAGCCGGTTTTCGCGGTGGAAACGAAGCTATATATAGCTATAAAATTTGATTAGTTCCAATGCATGCATTGGCGATAGAAATCATCGTTAAAATCGTTCTGCATTGGAAACCTCAGTCTAAGACCCTGTTTACACTAGAACCAAAGTCTTCGGATTCATCACGAAAGCGGAATGTTTTAGTTCTGGATTCATGTTGCTGTTTACACATGCAGCAACGAATCCGATAGAAAATGTACTCGGTTTTAAGCCGTATCCGGAAACTTTTAATCCGTAAAAGTTTGTGGAAACTTCGTATCCAGAAACACATGAATCCGGAAAATTTTCTTGTGTAAACGCTTTGAATGACGAATCCGAAGAAATTCAATATGACGACCAAACAATTCTCCAAGAACAAGTAATGTGAGTGTAAACGGACAAATCCGCATACAGAGACAACTAAAGTGTAGTGTAAACACCTGACGAATCCGATACATGTGTGTAACAATGAATCCGGAAAATTTTACAAATCCGGAAACTTTCGTTCTAGTGTAAACGGGGTCTTAATCGTACTCGGCTTAAAATACAAATAGATTATCTATATATATCATGATACCTAAATTATCTCATAGATTATACAAATTACCAACTTAGCTAAACTCATCAAAGGAAATCGACCCACTTAACTCTTTTTGATTCATGTCCCTCACCCTTGCCTTGGACTTCGCACACAAACAATGAAGACAACTTAAAACTTTTATATCAATACTCCGGGTGTTTCGTAAAGTCTTGGAAATGAAAATTTATTTTAATATCTCGGTACTTTAGCCTTGAAGGAGCGTCCTTGCTAAAAGCCAAAACACATGCACCAGTAATTGAGTATTCTATTTCTTTTTCGAAACTAATTTATTATTAATTAAGTTAAACAAGCAGGAACAAGGAATCAGCAGATGTTTCGGACAAACGCCGTCCAAGATAAACTATAAACAATAAAATATATGAACTAAGAGGATCGCATAGAAAAGCAATTTTCCTTAAAAGTAACAAGTTTCTTGTCCAATTATTCTTGGGTAACACCATTGTCAGACAATTATTTCTTGTCGCTTCTGCATTTCACGAAAAATGTGTCCGGTTTTTCCTCGTATGGACGAGGCTTTATGATGCAGAACTTTGCTTGGTCAAAGTTTACTGGATGTACACACATTTGATAAAATTCAAACGTTAAAGCAAATTAGACAGGAAAGAGTTAATATACCGCAGAGTAAATCCAAGGTCTTGTTTTGTAACAACATGCAGGATTGCGAAATTGACCTTTAATTAGGTGAAGACCGCTATATTGGACTGAAAATTTAAGTGGAGGCTATTAGGATTGAAAATTTTTCGAAGAGAAATGACAAGTCGACACGAAAAGTTGGATAATCCATTTATCCGCGTGGTAAACTTGCTAAATATTGACACGCAACACAAGTCAACATATGCACAGAACAATATAAGTTTGAAAATCCAATACATGGCGGAGTAATATGTATGAACTATCAGAAATATTGTTCAATGAAATAATTGAAATTTGAGATACAACTGTGACGTCCTGTTCTTAACTTCTAGAGTAATTGAACAACAAAGATATTAAACAATGATTATACCCAGCCCAAATTGTCGTGCGAAATAATTTGCCAACGTTGTTGGAAGCGGGTTCGCTTCTCAAAGCACCTGCTCTGTACTCCGCCATTGTTGTCATTGGCGAGCGAGTACTTGCCGTCTTGTCGTCTGAATTCACAAAACCTCTTCCTTTCAGGTTCTACTCGATGTATTCCCAGCGTAAGATAAGATGTCTTACGCGAGGATTTATTTCACTAAGAAGAACATTGTTTAATAAAGACGTGAAATATTTTCAATCATAGTACGAAACAAACTTCATATTAAGTAAGTATGCAAGCGAAGTAAACTAGAATCACACTTGGCAAAGGTTGGCAGATTCTTTGAATAAAAAAGCCAAACACCTCATATTATATCTTTTGTATTTTTCTTTTAGCCTTTTGTTTCATGATGACATTAACATTGATATAACCCTCATTAATTCTGCTAATCGACCAATCCTGCACTATTCCTATAAATCGAAACACCATAGTCTTTTTAAAACATATTGTATTTCATTACCAAATGACCAAAGACATGCAGTCAAAGACAGACGTAGTCTTGTAAAAACATGCTCTAGAAAACAAGCTGAAATCACTTGCTAAAGTATACTTATTCAATCACTCTACTCATGTTTATGTATTCAAACTTGTGCAAGATGAAGACAATACAAAATGTCCTAAGTATAATCTCCTTTGTTTTAAAACTGCACAAAAGAGTTTAGTTCCCTGTAGGAATCACAAGTCGTACTGTTAAAAATCTAATAAACAAAGTTCATAAGATATATGAACGGTAAAGCTGTCTCAAAGTTAATATAGTTCTTAATATTTCCTGTCATGTCCCCTATGGACTTTGACATTTACCTGTTAAATACCACTTTTATCCCTACTGATACATCACAATCATTCGGAACAGATAAATAAGTGATGTAACCCTATGAATTAAAATTGAAAACGTTTTGCGAATTCATCATTCTCTCCTAAAAATGACCACATCGTCACGTTTCGTCTCGTCAATTCCCTATAAAAAAGGAAATCCGTTTGTACAGATTACGACCATCACCGATATGAAATTTGGGTTCGAGAAATTGCAGGAAACATTTCATTCAAACCGGTTAAAATCAAGAGTCAACTTAATATCAAATTTCAACCAAATTTAATAAATATAGATTACTTCATGGACGTGTACGATTTTTATGCACGAGTTGTGAAGAATCGCAAAACGAACCAGTGAGTAAGTGCCATTTTGATTAAAATGGCAACAAATTGCCGCCAAAATGACATACGACAATTTTTCAGGTGTGAAGTATATCGTTGTTTTTTTGACATTCCCCGATCTAAATGGCCACCCCACTTTTTTCAAATTGCATGTCCAGCGCAATTTACGTACCTCTTTTCCATGCGCAAAGTTCCGTTCCCTCTCCCATTGTATCATAGTGCGAGGCCTGTAGTTTGTAATGTAAGCCCGTCTGTAATTATCTGTGCTATTCCCTCGACTGTAGTGAAGGGTTCGACCACCATGTAAAGTACATGAACCGCGCTTGAGTAACAGTGGTACACCTTCGTCCTGGGGTAAAAATATATACTTCATTAAGCAAGCGACTTCCAGACGCTGTTCTTACGTTCGCTTGATTTTCGCTTTTCTAGTGCCACGCATTTGCGGATCTTTTTGGCCAGGGCGACGTTCTTAGAATGCTAATTGAAAGCTTTGAATTTCAACTGAATAACTCACCTCAGAACAAGCGCACTCCAGCGTATGCGTACCTTTTCCAGCAGGATGGTGCTCTCGCAATGGCATCTTGTGGGAACCAGGTACAAACCACATACAACCATTGTTTAATGTGGTATCGTCAAGAGCAACCTTAATGGAATCTATAGCTATAACTAACTGTATGGTGGACCGTCAAATCAACTAGGATGGGATCCAGGTGAAGCAAGTAGAAACTATAAATTTTTAAAGAATTATTTCAATCAATATTCAATAAATCTGATTAGACGTGATTTCGCCACTAGTGGAACCAATTCAAATACTTAGAAAAATGCCTGATATCTCATGAGCAAAACATTCCTGTGTGAAATTTGGGGTATCTGGGACTAGAGCCCGACCCTTTTTTAGGCGATGGAATTGGAAAAGGTGCAATAGAATAAGCCTCCCATGCACTCGCAACTTCCGGAGGTACATGGTGCATCCTCTGTTAATGCAGAAATCGCACTCCTCTTAGCTAATGAAATTGCAGCATTTGCCAAAGATTACAGAAGATATAATATTAACTTAGTAATCGTGAGAAATAATATCCGGCAATATCTGGTCAGTTTCTTAGATAATGTGACGAGGAACTATTTCAGTTTTTTTTCCTATAGAAGCCGCAATGCAAATTCGCTTATTTGGAGAGTCCATGGCAGCGAAGAATACATTCAGGGTGTCCAGTGAAGGAGGTATCTCCATATTTATACGCATGCAGCAACTTTGCCAACTTAACCAAAAATAAATACGACTTACCCAACAAGTTGTCACCCTTTTATCAGGCATATCAGGCCAGTAAGATTCATCCTGGTGCCAAGGTGTAATAGTATTTGTATTTGGACCCTGCATGGAAAGGTTTTAAGGAAAGGAAATCCTACCTGATCGATTTGCCATTTTTTAAAATTATCTGGGCAAGGAAATGCCAATAATTAAATTATCGGATTAAAGGGCATGCTAAAGCTAGTTAAAGTTCGAGGTTGAGGTACGAAATGTTGGATACCGGAGAGAGTATAACTATATCGCTATACAATCTATTATAGCCTTATAATGTAAAATCTATCAAAATGATAGTTTTGAAGTACTATAATTGTTTCTTTAGTTTAACATAGCTTTAAGGCGGATTTCCACTTACAGCGAAATCGTTCGGTAGCGAAATATTTGCATATTTTCTTTTGAATTGAGAACAGTCAAGTCGAACTAATTTATTTATACTGTTAAAATTCAAAAGAAAATATGCAAATATTTCGCTAGCGAACGATTTCGCTGTAAGTGGAAATCCGCCTTTATATTGTTGTTTTTAAACAAATTAAAGTAGAATAAATTAATACTAATTACTTCTAGTTGCAGTAATTTGCCGTAATACCCTGAATGTTTTGTGAGTTGTTTCATTGTTTATAGCATTGTATATATAGTAAAAAATTAAATAATAAAATGTATATATCACTGTAAAAACACTAATTTAAAATTGATTATAATTATTTTACTGGTTAAAATAACTTGATTAAAACCTTGGTTTTTACCAAATAGAATTGATCAAAAAGAGATAAATCTGAGACAACCAAATTCAAATTAGCTGTTCAAACAACCTGTTTTTACAAAGTATATATGTATTATTCCACATATCTTAAAATATTATAAAATACCTTTGCAATCAGCATATCAAAATCAAAATCAGCATCTGGACCAACTATTATGTTGTTTATTGCTTGCACTCTTTGATGAAGTGGGCCCTAAATGAAATTCAAAAGTGTCAACAATATCGAATGAAACATTTATACAGATGCAAATCAGAGTTTTTTTTACAATATATGGCAGGCACTGCTTCACATACACTGTGAACGGAACAGTCGGAACGATAGCGAGAGTTTCGTGAAGGAAAATAGAGTGACAAGCATTCAATTTCACTAATGATGCATTGCCTGTAAAGGTAAGGTATTCCTTTGCATAAATTTGTAAATGCTATAATAATATCCAAAACTCTATAATAATAACCAAAATGCTATAATAATATCCATTTGACTGATTTAATTGCTAAAAATGTCATCTGTTCTGATTTGTTCAAAATTTTCATCGACAGTAATTTGTAGTGAAATTTAACGTAATCTAGATATGTGAGTAGTACACATCACCGTAAATTTCGTGTTACTAAATATTTTTGAAAGTGCATGATGATTTAAAATGATAAAGTTCACGAAACGTAGGCCGTCTTTGACCGAATCCTTTATTTGCTCTGTCATTATTTATTTCTGATATATCTTTTTGAATTTTAGATTTCTCGTTTCTTGAAATTTCACTTTTCGAGGGCGTGCAAGGGCCTTAAATAAGCATGCTTCTTTAACTTTTAATTATGGACAAATTTTCAATTCCATTTGTATCATGAAGTTATGCATGCATGCAAGCATGCATGTGTATGTCTAGTTTCGTAACTTACCTGCATCAACGACGGGAAGTAAAGGCTTGGCCACATGATTTGACAGACATTTTCCTCATTTGCATTTTTTTGGGGCTCTATTAAAAATATTGCACCGTGATTGTATAAGAGCAGCCAAATTTGGAATCCTTTTTCATAAGATTGAACATGCAGTTTCACCATTCGTTCTTCTAGTTTCTTAACATTGCTATCTGTTGTAAGCTAGCGAATTCTAGATCTGCTATTGTAATTGAAATAAAGCCCTTCAGATATTTAAATCCCATAAATGATAGTAATTATACATACATTTCAAAATAAGTTCACCATAAGTTTTCCAAGGATATTTTTGTTAAATCATAACCACAAGAATCAACGTCACAAAATGTTTGACAAATTTGGTTAAAAATCAATTCCAACATTTTTTTACCCTTTTATTATACCTTTTATGATCATAACTTTTTGAGACGCCCTGCATGTATATGGTTTACTACCATCTATGATCCCTACTTTCATCCGCGTCATATTTATTATACTATTGACACACACAAGCAGATCGACGCTCTGTTGAAGCAAGAGTCGTCAAAACGTGTTTATTATTAGCCTTAAACTGCATGGTATAGGTAATAATTCATGAGTATAACTGCATTAGCTTTAGTGTAGTAATTGATCTCCTCACCATGACCACCAAGATCCTGACGATGCGCCCTTGTATTTATTTCTCCTTTCAACATCTTCATGTAGATATCTGTGGGAAAACTGATTTATAGCATTTGCTCGAAAATTAGGACAAATAACCTCGTTCCCATTTGTCGATCTCCAGGGGCCAGTTGTATAAAAGACTAGTTAACTTTTAACTAATCAGAGACTCTGGATCAGAGTTGTGTATTTCTGAGTTAACTAGGTTTCAACGATGCAAAGTGTAGGTACTACATTGTTTTAGACAACCGCTCCCAGGTAACATTGGAAATTTGATCCATATTACTTATTCCCCATACGTTATTCCTATAAAACATGTCTATACCTTTGTAAATCTCAACATACTCCTCGTTGATTAAGCCATGAACGACCTATACACAAGAAGCATGTATACATAAACACACAGTGTCTTAATCTTACCCTGAGGTAAGATGTGCGCTAGACTATTAAAAACATTTAGCAAATCTAAGTCTAAAGGCCTATTTAGACTACACGAAAAGTTGTATGCAATTATCATTCTGACGAATGCAAAAGAGCGCCTATATGCCACAATCTTCATTCAATTTTGTTCAGGTTAGAATTTAAAGTGTCACATTTGTACGTGTGTCCATTATACGTTCACATACGTCAGGGTACGAATCGTATATACGACAAATCGCATAAACGCCATAGTGTAAATGGGCCTTAAGTAGTTGTTCTCCGGCATTTTCGAACCCATTCTCTATTGTTTTATATAAGTATCTACGACCACAAGAGGACTTGACATCAAATGAATATATTGTTAAACTCAGAATTACTGACCTGCAAACTTTTTACCATAGTAGCATGGGGAATACGGATTTCAGGTTTAGTCTCACAGTTTTCATTCGTGAAAACCATCTTTTTATTCTACGATACTCACTAAGAATCCATTGCTATCAAAATCTTTCTTCCATTCATGAACAGGTTGAGTTTTCAGCCAGTCGTCCAACGATTCATGCTCTGGCCAATCTACCTGGGTGGATTCTGGGCTTGAATTCATCTTTATGGCTAAACTCTCATCTAAATATTAACAATAGACGAACATCTGGCTTTAAATGGCTAAAGAAAATAGCTACTGTAACGAAATCAAGGTTTGGGTATAAATACGGCTGAACCAAACTGCAAGGAAAGATAAAATATAACTAGCTAAATAAAAATGAAAAGGGAAAATATTATATACTTCACTATATATATTTTTCAATGGGAGAAGGGGGGAAGTGGTCCATAATTAAACGAAATACGTGACAAAATAGTTGTAAAAATGAAAAAAATGTGTTTAACATGCGTAAAGTCTCAATGGTCGAATTCGTCATTTTCCTGCAGACTCGACCATGGTCGAATATTCGAATTCGTCATTTTCCGGCGAACTCGACCATGGTCGAATTCGTCATTTTCCTGCAGACTCGACCATGGTCGAATTCGTCATTTTCCGGCGGACTCGACCATGGTCGAATTCGTCATTTTCCGGCCGACTCGACCATGGTCGAATATTCGAATTCGTCATTTTCCGGCGAACTCGACCATGGTCGAATTCGTCATTTTCCGGCGAACTCAACCATGGTCGAATTCGTCATTTTCCGGCGGACTCGACCATGGTCGAATACATCATTTTCCGACAGACTCGACCATGGTCGAATTCGTCATTTTCCGGCGAACTTGACCATCAATCATGTGCAAAAATTATTGCGACACGGTCATTACACCTAGTATCTACCCCCCTCTCCCGCCAAAACAATGTTGTTTCTATGATACCAAGCCATTTGATTTGCCGAAAATATCACTCTCAACATTGTCAATGGGGGAAGGGGGGCCGGAAATAGTCAATAGTTAAACGAAATACGTGACAAAATAGTTGTCAAAATGAAAAAAAATGAGTTTAAAATACGTCTCATAATTTTTGCACATGATTGTAGACCCAACACACCGTGACTATTTTTGTGAACACGATAACAAATTAGGTCTTAATGGTAGAAGGACGGAATTAATTTTTAATAAGTTTTATTAACTTTAATTACTCTTATTAACTTTTCCAGTATTAAACGTTTTACAGGCTATAAATATAAAACTTCTACGATCTATCGAAAATAAACAATCGCTATTTTTTAGACTTAGCAGATAGCTATTTTTTAGACTTTGACGTATGAAGTTAAGCTTTTTTACTTTTTGAGTTCTCGTGCACGAAATTAATGGGAATGAGAATTTCAGCTTCCTAAAAAAAGCGATGAAAAAGGTGCATGACGTGTACATTTTGGGAAAATTTGAGCTGGGACACAAAAATAATCTCTGATTACACTTCTGATAATACGTATTCTGTGTGACTAGGTCGAGTATACCATAAACCGTCATCACCGACCCTGCACCATATATTTAGGGTCTATAGTATACCGTTAATCGGTATATACGACCTTGATAAGCTCGGTCGAGTGTACTATAAATCGGTATATACGACCTTGAATAGCCCGGTCGGTATTGCATTATTAGCATAAACCAACATCATCGATCCTGCATCAATTCCATCAAATACATTCTTAAAGGCCGAGTAGACCATAAATAAACCTTGAATTTTTTTGGCTCGTCTCAGCAGAGCAATGTCTTCCTCTGCTGTCGGTGATAAATGATACCAGAACCAGGCTTAGCCTTATTTCGTAATTTATTTTAATGACAGCACCACAATAATTCCCTGCAAGACGTTGCGTGTTCGTCTAGTCTACAAGCGCCTACATAAATCCTACATATCATGGTAAATTTAACACGAATCTTATATGGTGAGTATATAAATGAACTTACCTGTCTTATATGCGCGCAATATTCTATGTGTTTATTTCATATTTCATGAGATGTAGACTGAAGTGAATACTCTCCTAGCCCAGACTTCCGGTTTTGCAAATTGCAACATATACAAATCGATTGTACTTCATGTAATACATGAGCATTAGTATATAAACCAACTCAATCCATCGGAAACTGGCTTTGTATATCACTAAATAAATATGCGGGCTATATGCCCATGGTTTCTTTCTTTTACATCTACCAACCGTGGCCAATTAATAAGCTTCCAGATCCCCAATTTCAAGAGTTTATACATCAAACGAACCTCAAGAAGAGTCTTTCTGAAAGTAACCATGTATTTAAATGGTTATATGGTTTCATTTTCTATCAGGGTATAAACCAAACTCATTCAGAGCCGTTCGCTGATAGGGAAACCCATCCGTTCTGGGCATCCTAAAGTGCTATGTCTATACTACATCCAGTGTATTATTTAGATCAGTGTAGGCTATTAACGTTTCTCGTGTTAGCTATGCCATGCTGAAAAATAGGTACGCTAAGCGTACGTGTATCTGCTCACAACAATCTAGTTTGGACAGCAAATGGACCATCAACCTCGTACCCAGGGTCTTTTCTCTGTGCTCACTCTGGGGGGAACACCCGCTGAGAAAAGACCCTGGTATTGTTTGGTCACGTGTCTCCAATTATAATTTCATCCTTGGGGGGGGTTAGTTAATGTATATGTATTGTCGCCATGTTTTCAAACTCTAAATGCGGGCTTTTCCTTTCGTGTTTGCAATTTGCAATACAAAATAGTTTGTATAGCGAATTCATGTTAAAGCCAAAACAGGTGATTTGCTTAGAAAAGGTATTTTTTAATTCGGATGTTCTTGCGGTTTTACCAACTGGATACGGTAAATCATTGATTTTTTACTTGCTTCCTGCTCTGTTATTTGCGGCTAAGAACGGTGTTGCCAAATACACTGAACACATTGATTCTATAATCGTCGTCGTGTCGCCTTTAAATGCTCTGATGAAAGACCAGATTTCACGATTAAATGCGGGTATAATTCGTGCATCAGTCCTCGACGTTAGGAACGTAGCAGCAGAAGACTCTGAGGATGCGGAAGACAAAGATGATGGCATTAGATCTGATGTTGTTTGTGACTTTCCTCTTAATGACAAAATAAAACTTGAAGAAGGATATTATAATATTGTATTTGCACACCCTGAGTCGCTTGTTTCCTGTTTATATGGACGAAGATTGATGCGATGCATTGTGTATCAAAAGAACGTTTGTGCTATTGTTGTTGATGAGTCCCATTGCATTTTAGAATGGTAAGTGTTTTATTACATAAAATACATTGTATATTACACAACTTTTCCTCCTATAAAACAAGTCTTGCAATTTCAAGTGTATAGTAATATTTATCATTTCAATGTGTTTTATATTTATATCAGGGGTAAAGATTTCAGAGTGGATTATGGAAATCTGGGTGCCTTGTGTGCCACATTTTCAAATGTACCTGTCATAGCCATGACTGCAACAGCAAACCGATATGATAGGGATTGTATCAAAAAATCCCTGGGCTTAAAATCATGTGTGGAAATCATTGGCAATCCTGATCGCATGAACATAACATACAAAAAGCATTTCAGAACTGGACCAGATATTGATTCTCTCACAGAAATCCTTACTCCTATAGCTGAAGGTTTGAAAAAACAGCAGATGTGCTATCCTTTGACAATAATCTACATCCCCTTGAAGTGGTGCGGGTTTGCATATAAACTGTTTGAATTTGTTCTGGGATGTGATCAATATTATCCCAAGGGAGGCAGACCAATTCCTGAAAACAGATTATTTGCACAGTTTCATTCGCCTCAAACTAAGGAGATGAAGGATGAAGTCTTGAAGCAGTTGACATGTGCTACAGGAAGCACAATCAGGGTTGTATTTGCAACAGTAGCCTTGGGGATGGGTGTTGATATCAAAGGCATCAGAAGTGTTGTGCATATCACTCCACCATACACAATACAAGCGTATGTTCAGGAAACTGGAAGAGCTGGGAGAGATGGAAACCATGCAACTGCAGTCCTATATTACAATAATCGGGATGTTGCAAAAAACAAACCGGGGATGCAAGAAGATATTCGAGTTTATTGTCAAAACAGAGGCACATGTCTCAGATATATGTTGCTGAAATCAATGGACACAGATGAAAGGTACATTAAACCACTTTCTCCCAAACACTTCTGTTGTAGTGTTTGTGGTGAAGAATGTGATTGTGCTAGTTGCACTTCATAGATCCTATTTAAGAACAAATATAAAAAACATATGTAGTGCTGTGAAACATAATGTACATATTGATTAAGAAAGGAACATCTTGACTAAACTACATACAGTTTACCAATGCATTAAAAAGAACAAAACAAGAGACTCTCCAAAGATGGTTAACATTTTTATATGGTTTTTTTACTAACTTACAGTTGCCTGATGATGACTGAAACCTAGTTGAAACATTGAATAAAATTGTTAACCAATTTTGCAGTGTCTATTGCATTGTTTTTTTAATTACCCAATGGCAACTTTATTTTCACCAATACATGTAGTTTATATTGCTAATACTGTAGAAATTATTAATAGTAATTAATAGTAATTATACAATTATTATTATTCTAGTGTACAAAAAAACTATTATATTTTTGTTAACATAAAAACATGGGTTCTATATACAATACTATACTCTATATACAATACTATACAATATATACAATATTTAAATATATATATATATATATATATAATATATATATATATATATATAAAATATATAAATAAAGTGTTCTGAGTTCTACCTTTTAAGAGTTCTGATTTTCTTCTGGTTCATCAGTTTCTTCTCTGTCAGAATCTAAGTCACTAACAACAGGAAAATGTAATGCAATGTTCTTTTGATGTCTTTTCAACCATTCAGAAAACTTTTCTTCATCAAAAGCACAAAGTGGGTTTGATGAAATTCCAGCAAATGTTGTATGTGATCTTCCTTGAACATACGAAAATGGCTTCAATTTGCGCAAATCAGCAAGAACTTTTTTTTCATCTTCCAATGAGGACTTGTGCGAGTGAGCTGATGATTTTTGTTTAATGGAAGCTTGGTTTTCAAAAACATCTACAATCTTACGGATTCCTCCAGCTGCCTTGCTCATCCTTTCGATGGCCTTCTCTGTCTTGTTTGCTCCCATCAAACTAATTAGCCCCTTCATGTCCCTGTTCCGGTTCTCTTGCAACAGGTCTATTTCAATGTTTTTACCACCACCTCCTTCCAGTTGACTAGTGCAGCCCATTTACACAGATGTGACTCAGCAGGTGAGAGTAAAACTTCATTCTGGATGGTGGTAACTAGCATTTCAATTGCATATACATTAAATCCAGAAACAGATGAGAAGTAATACAACATCTGTTTCTGGATTAATGCCAAATGTTCTCCATTCCCATATGCCACTGCATCTTTGCAATCAAATAGAACCATGAAGGATCGAAGAAGATTGACAGAATAATTAAAAATGCCATCTGATGAGTTGTTGTCTGAGATATTTTCCTCTAAACTGTCAACATCGCTGCATGAAGTGTCTTGGAAAACATACTCATCCAAGAACTTGTCTAAGACAGTCATTAGGTGGGTTTTTTTTTCTTCTTCACTCAAATCTCTTGATCAGGCAATGGATTATTTTCCTTTGGAGAATCGTTTACATTTTCCATCTTGAAGAACTCTAGCAATGCTTCAACAAGATAGCAATTGCCAACACTCATGAACAGCTGCTCACAGTCTTCATAATGTTTTATATCGACTGTAACATTTCTCCTGTTGAGTACCTCTCGGAAGTATCTAATGGTACCTGCTTCTCTTCCAGAGTTCTTGTAGAGTCTTTTGAAGACAGACTACAAATATAATGCAAGTTTTATTTAACTTTATGTTCTATGTAGTATTAGGGCAAGATGCAAGATATCAATGTAATAGTATTGTAACAGGTAGTAGGTGTGGTAACAAGATCCAATATTGGACCCTATTTTTTTGAAAAATTCGTCATAAATCAATCATAAGACATGATGTCTTCATGCAACCAGAAAAATCAAATCTAGCTTTAGTTAATTCTTCCTGAAAAACCTGAGATTGCTTTTTTCGAGGTTTTTATATGTTAGGTTGAAACAAAACAAATAAATTTGTTCAAAATGTATTTTAAAACCTTTCAGGATTATAAACAACTGCTGGTAGTGTCAATGATATAAAAGAGTAACATAACACAATTTTGTAACAGGAAAATCATATCCATGACCAGGAATTTACCTTTAAGAAACTTCTTTTAGCATGCCATCCAACAATGCGATACGGGTACAAATGATCCAGTCGTTGTTTGGGTGTATGGCATCCAGAGCGAAGATCTCGTGCTCCAGCAAACCTTACTCGGGTCAACTCATCACCAAAACAGGGAATTTTCACACCTTCTAAAGGATCAGTTTGGGAACCAACTGGTGGGATATGTGATCGTGGTTGATCTGGGCGTGTGGGCACCTGAACAATAGGATGGGAAGCTGTAGATGGAGATTGATCAAAGTTGTATATGCCACTAGCTTTGCACACATCCTCTGTCCATTGCTCCAATTGATCCAAAACATCCACACAGTCACTGTACTTTTTTTCATCCTTCATGAGAACTGGAAGGGTCATAATTTCGGATTTCAAAGCTGTCTTCTCAGAATTTTCATGAAGTACAAGATCCTCTGGAATGTAGGACTTTAAACCAAATAGTTCAGTGAACTTTTGAACCAGGATTCTCGCAATGAATACTTTATACCGATTCCGAATTGTTGTCATTTCTGCATCTGACAATGAAACAATTTCACGAAAATTGCAAGTTGCGATATCTTTCTGTGGACCATTGTCAGGTAAGTGGTCACTTGGCACTCTGTTGAACACCATGCTAGTTGCACATGCATGCACACTCTTGTTTTGATGGTCTGCTCTCATGTCATGCACTTTCTCTTCCCAATCTATGTTATCAACCACATAGACAAATTTCATCCCAGATTTGACCAACTCGACAGCACGATCCAAAAAATGTTTCCCAATATCGTCAAGCACAACATATTTGTTAGAAAAACTCAAACAGAGCCCATATTTGTTGAATCGATCAATCAACTAAAAGTAAGTAGATTAACATGTATAAATATGTATCCCTGATGGCACGAATCGTAATAAATATTTTCACTACCTGGTAATTAAAAAAATTTCAGCTAAAATTCAAATGCATTTTTTCAAAGTTTCAGAGGATAAACATCAAAATAATACAAGGTTTACCAATATAAGTATGATAGTTGTAGCTTGATTAACACAACAGTAATAACAAATAGCATTCATAATAATCACTTCTATTGTGAACATAAGCTGAATAAAAGGAATGCATTATGCATGACAATTTGTCTATGATTGGGTTTTAATAGTAACAGCACAGTTAGAAATTCAAAGATCTAAATAATCAAACCTACAAAAAGTTAAAAACCTTGCGGTATTGACTATTGTGCTAACTATTAATCAAACAAACTTCAAATTATAAATATGGATTTAAAAGAACATACATTTTTAGTTGCTTTCCCTTCTGTCAGAAGAATGGTGTTGATTCTTTGAATGCGGCTCAAGTGATGACATCTCACAAACATGATAATGCCGTAAATTAGGGAAATTGGCGGTAGTTTATTTCCTGCATCCAAAATAGAACAATCGAGCAAACTTGACAATATTTTTGCAACATTAGGACACCTCGTCGAGAGCTCATTTACCACTTCTGTCATCCAGTTTGACTGACTTAATCCTGCGTATGTTCCATTCCTTAGCACGGATGGCTCGTCTTTACGGGCAATATTAATCAGTTCTCTGTTCGCCTCGTTTAATATTTCATCCAACGCAGTTATATTCTATAACAAATCAAACGCGGTATTTTACTAAATAGCGACACGTTCAAACATACAATATTTTTTTTTCGCGGCATTTGTAGTAATATAACACAAGATTTCAAAGCTATATCAATGTTTTCTTTATATTTTATATGAATTATTAATAAGACGCAATATGTAAATTTGAGAGGCAGCTTTATGTAAATATACACGACCAACTTTAACAACATGTAATACCTCTTTATCAGAAGATGGAACTTGTACCCCAAAATTGAGCGAAGTTCTTGCTGAAGGCCCAGATGTGTGCAAACGAGTTCTTGGTGGTTGGGATGCCGACGGTGAGGCTTCTAGGCACCGTTTCACTCTTGTTTCACAAGGTTGTTGCTGGCGAAATTCGTTCTGTGTTTTTCTTACAACTTCTCGAAATTCTTTAATGTGTTTTAGTCTGCGCTCGCATGGTCGACACAACAGATGAGGCAAACTTGGATCTCGCAACAACGGATGGCCGCACAATTGCTCTACAGTCCTCAATAATTCTTCGTTTAGTGTACTAAATAAATTTTTGCGATGATTCGCGTCACCAATAGATCGACAAAGTCTACAGGACAACGGGTCAATCGAAGAATTGCTCGATAAATTTTTTTCGGTGTTTCCTTCGAAGCCATCGGGATAAAAGACTTTTTGGCTTTTGTCACCCGAAACATGTGCTTCTGCTTATGAAATTTGATATGAAACTTGATATGTTGCCGCGATGCACAGCTTAATAATGCAAATATAACAGAGTTCATATCTCCGTATTATTCAACTCGCATTATACTCGCAGTTCGAAACTTCGAACAAAAGTTCGCTCAAATCATAATAATACTCAGCCACCCGCCCCTTGTAAAATTTTTTTGTAACCTCCCAGAATCTGGGAGACACGTGACCAAACAATACCAGGGTCTTTTCTCAGCGGGTGTTCCCCCCAGAGTGAGCACAGAGAAAAGACCCTGGGTACGAGGTTGATGGACCATATGAGTTTGGCCATGTTTTTTAATTTCCCGTCTACTGGTGAATGAGGCTTGATGATTGCCTACACTATTTTTTACCTTCTTTGCTTAGGCTGAGAGCTCCTATTTGACTGTTCAGGAATTCAGGATTTAGAAGTACCTGATGGGAAAGTTGATATATAATGCTACTCATCTATATGACCTAAATAAATAACTCTAAGTTGATCTGTTGGTGAAAATCCTTGTACTATAGTGTATTCAGAAAATTGTTCATGTGTTTCACTATTAACTTCAGCTGATCAGCCACAGCTTGTATAATCATAGCATCACCCTATGACAATTGGATGGGCATATTGTTGAAGTATTCTAACCATGAGTTTTCAGTGTTATTTTCAATGTAAAATGCTCGAACTTGTAGATGGTGCTCAGGGCCACCATACAACTGATAAGACACAGCTCGAAAAAAGCAATCACCACCAACATCAAATTTTCTTAAATGAATATGATGATATTCATCATATATTACGAATAATAATCCCACAATCACCACATAAGGCAATGTCGTATATACTAAGCCTTCCGCTTTTGGAGTCGCGTACACAGCGTGACACACCCATCCATCGGTTCTTGCTCTCCTGTCCTGTTTCGAGGGAAGCAGCTCCTCTTGCGAGTTTGACTATGGCGCGTTGTTGGCTTCTCGCATGTCTTAAGCGGAAGGGTTAAATTGTGAAAGTAATGTTTTTCATTATGAACTTGAAAACAAGATTGAAGTAAAAAAGAAATACCGTTCATTATCCCAAGAGCAAATAGTTTAGAGGTGACGACAATGATCTTCCAATTGGTAAATCGGTGGTTCGAATCCTACTTTAATTGTTTTTCATTATGAACTTCGTGAGAAGGATAAAGTAATTTAAATAACCATAGCCGTTCAGCACAAGATCTCATAGTATAGTGGCTAAAACAATGGTTTCCCAAGTGGTAAATCGGTGGTTCAAATCCTACCATAACCGTTTTTCGTTATTAACTTCGTGTATAGGATAATGTTAATTAGATAACCATAGCTGTTCGGCACAAGATCTTATAGCCTAGTGGCTAAGGCAAATGTTTCGTATGTGGCAAACCAAAGGTTCAAATCCTCCCATCAAGTGAATTAAATAACCATATAACTGTTCAGCACACGATCTTGTAGTTTGTGGCGAGGACAATGCTCTCCCAAGTTGTAAATCGATGGTACAAATCCTACCGTAACCGTTTTTCATTATGAACCTCTTGAAAAGGATAAAGTAAATTAAATAACCATAACCGTTCAGCAGAAGCTCATGTAGTTTAGTTGCGAAGACAATGGTCGCCCAAGTCGTAAATCGGTGGTTCGAATCCTACCACAACCGTTTTTCATTATTAACTTCGTGAAAAGGAAAAAGTAAATTAAATAACCATAGCCATTCAGCACAAGATCTTATAGTGTACTGGCTAAGACAATGGTCTCCCAAGTTGTAAATCGGTGGTTCGAATCCTGCCATAACCGTTTTTCATTATAAAATTTGTGAAAAGGATAATGTCAATTAAATAACCTTAGCCGTTCTACACAAGACCTTGTGGTTTAGTGGCTAAGACAATGGTCTCCCAAGTTGTAAATCGGTGGTTCGAATCCTACCAGAACCGTTTTTCATTATTAACTTCGTGAAAACAATAAAGTAAATTAAATAAACTTAACAGTTCAACAAAAGATCTTGTAGTCAAGTGGTCAGGTTGTTGGTCTTATGTGTTGACAGTCGGAGGTTCGAATCTCGTTTTAGATGGAAATTTTCGTTATTGATATTACATGGTAAGGTTATGGAGAATAAGTTAGTGTTGGCTTCAAACAATCACCAGTTAGCCTTGTGGTAAAGTCGTGGACTATGAAGTACAAGATTGAGGTATCAAGAGCAGGAATGGTACGTTTCTCATGGCGGCAAAGAAGTGGTAGGTACGTTGCTCATGGGAGGTTTATGCTCGGTTAATCTTTGGAAATTGAAGTTATCTTTAGGTGAATCAGGGAGTAGGTTGGGTGAATGAGGGGTATATGAGTACAAAAAGACTTGATAATGGAACGGCCACGGCTCCCGGGGGCAGGAAAGAGGGTATAGGTGAGAAAACAGTATATAAAATGTTTAAGTCTTTTTGTACTCATTTAAACCTCTTTACCTCTATTTATCCTCAAATTTACTCCTATCTATCCCTACTTTTCCCTATCCTCAGATATCCCTAACTATCCCCTAACACAATTAAATGTTTGAAGAAAGCTTACTTTGAAAGTCAGGAAAGGCGGGGGAAAGACAACCCCCCTCAGTCTACTCCTCGCCCAAGGCGAGGGCATATTCGCCCTCTCGGTCTACTCTTCTCACACTCACAAATTCTCGCTTTATTACCTTGTTCTTTTTCGGTTTATCCAGGACTTGAACCATCCATTGTATACTTGGCAAATCACTGTCTTCACCACTACACCACCAGTTCATGTGATGAAAGCTTACAGTTTTTTATTTTACTTGATCTATTTTTGGAAAGATCTTTGACGAAACTTAATACCTTTTGCTGGGATCTCAAATGAAATAACAATTTAAATAAGTTCACTATAATGTTTATGATTTATTTTCTCAAATCTCACACACTGTATCTTTACTATCTTATTCGTAGCTAGTAACTTAATAATTTGTGTTATAGCTAAAATATCACATACATATTTGCGGCGCCTTAAAGCACCGTCTTTCCATAAGTTGGTTATATGCGGCTCAAGTGAAGCTAATGGTTACGGTGCGATTGTTTTGTATTTTTAACGAAGTGAAGTCAAAGTACAATTACTGAACAATGTATTTGAAATAGGTTCAAAGGAAAAAAGTACAAGAATTAAGAATAGCCGAATGCTCATCTTGCTGAGACGGGAAAGTTGATAGCCGTAAAAACCCATCTGAATGTGAATTGGGATAGTACGGAAAATTTGTACGTATGATGGGTCCGTAACGCGTGATCATTACGATATTAATTGTATTCATTTTCCTTAGCCTTGTTCGATCCTTGACTGTGCAGTCTGTGCTTATATTTCTGAAACTCGCCTGAGATATCCGTCTAAATGCGAATTTAAGACGAGTTTCTCTTCCAGACGGGATTTTCGTCTAACTTACCAGACTTTTGATTTAGACGGGAAAATTCGGACGGGGAACGTGTCTGTACTTATTTCACATCAGACCAGTTTCCCGTCTTCAACGAGTTTCCCGAAAATTTCTTCGAAAAACTTTAAATGAAATAATTATGAATCGTTGCGTAATATCGTTGAGGAAATTGCATGCCTATTGAACTGAACTTCTTCTTCTTAGCGTATTTTATATTCGACAAACAGGCTAGACAAGCTTTCGACTCTTTATACAACAAAATCTTGAGATAAACAGTCAATATCTGTTTTAAACTGGATATTTGCTTTAATTGCGATTCAGATGTAATGTACGAGAGTACGAGGTGCATGCTTAATTGTTACCTCATGACTATACGCGTTATACAAATTGAAATACATTTTTCTTTTAAACTTATTTTTAAATACATTGTCAATTCTTGTACTTAACTTTGACTTCACTTCATTAAAAATACAAAACAATCGCACCGTAACCATTAGCTTCACTTGAGCCGCATATAACCAACTTATGGAATGACGGTGCTTTAAGGCGCCGCGAATATGTATGTTATATTTTAGCGATAACACAAATTACTAAGTCACTAGCTACGAATAAGATAGTAAAGATACAGTGTGTGAGATATGAGAAAATAAATCATAAACATTAAAGTGAACTCATTTAAATTGTTATTTTATTTGAAATCCCATCAAAAGGTATTAAGTTCGTCAAAGATCCTTCCAAAAAAGGATTAAGTAAAATAAAAAACTGTAAGCTTTCATCACAAGAACTGGTGGTGTAGTGGTGAAGGCGGTGATCTGCCAAGTATGCAGTCGATGGTTCAAGTCCTGGATAAACCGAAAAAGAACAACAACTGAAGGTAATAAAGTGAGAATTTGTGAGTGTGAGAGGAGTAGACCGAGAGGGCGAATATGCCCTCGCCTTGGGCGAGGAGTAGACTGAGGGGGGTTGTCTTTCCCCCGCCTTTCCTGACTTTCAAAGCAAGCTTTCTTCAAACATTTAATTGTGTTAGGGGATAGTTAGGGATATCTGAGGATAGGAAAAAGTAAGGATAGATAGGAGTAAATAGGAGGATGAATAGGGGTAAAGAGGTTTAAATCAGTACAAAAAGACTTAAACATTTTATATACTGTTTTCTCACCTGTACCCTCTTTCCTGCTCCCGAGGGCCGTGGCCGTTCAATTACTAAGTCTTTTTGTACTCATATACCCCTCATCCACCCTGCCTACCCCCTGATTTACCTAAAGATTAACTTTAATTTCCAAAGATTAACCGAGCATAAACCTCCCATGAGCAACATACCTACCACTTTTTTACCGCCATGAGAAACGTACCATCCTGTTCTTGATACCTCGATCTTGCACTTCATAGTCCACAACTTTACCACATGGCTACCTGGTGATTGTTGGATGCCAACAGTAACTTATTCTCCATAACCTTACCGTGTAATATCAATAACGAAAATTTCCATCTAAAACGAGATTCGAACCTCCGACTGTCAACACATAAGACCAACAACCTGACCACTTGACTACAAGATCTTTTGCTGAACGGTTATGTTTATTTAATTTACTTTATTGTTTTCACAAATTTTATAATGAAAAACGGTTATGGTAAGATTCGAACCACCAATTTACAACTTGGGAGACCATTGTCTTAGCCAGTGCACTATAAGATCTTGTGCTGAGTGGTTATAGTTATTTAATTTACTTTATCCTTTTCACGAAGTTAATAATGAAAAACGGTTATGGTAGGATTCGAACTATCGATTTACCTCTTAGGAAACCATTGTCTTAGCCACTAAACTATAACGTCTTGTGCAGAACGGCTATGATTGTTTAATTTACTTTATCCTTTTCAAGAAGTTCATAATGAAAACGGTTAAGGTATAGGATTCGAACCACCGATTTACCACTTGGGAGACCATTGTCTTTGCCACTACACTATGAGATGTTGTGCATAAAGGCTATGGTTATTTGATTTACTTAATTCTTTTCATAAATTTATAATGCAAAACGGTTATGATAGGATTCGAAACGTCGATTTACCACTTAGGAATCCATTGTCCTCGCCATTACACTACAAGATATTGTGCTGAATGGCTATGGTTATTTAATTTACTTAATCTTTTTCACGAAGATAATAATGAAAAACGGTTATGGTAGGATTTGAACCACCGATTTACCATTCGGGAGACCATTGTCTTCGCCACTACACTACGAGATCTTGTGCTCAAAGCCTAGGGTTATTTAATTTACTATATCCTTTTCACCGGAAGTTCACAATGAAAAACGGCATGGTAGGGTTCGAAACATCGATTTACCACTTGAGAGACCATTGTCTTCGCTTCTAGACTACAAGATATTGAGCTGAACGGTTATGGTTATTTTATCAGTTTAATTTATCCTTTTCACGAAGTTCATAATGAAAAACGGTTATGGTAGGATTCGAACCACCGTCTTGGATGGGAGACCATTGTCTTCACCACTAGGCTAGGAAATCTTTTCGTGATCAGCTGTGTTTTTTTTAATTTTACTCTATTCTTTTGTCGAAAGACATAATGAAAAACTGACATGCTTCGACTCAAACCCACAGTTTGAAACATGTGAGAGCCTTGCCTTCCCCGCTAAAACAGGAGAACTTCTGGCGAATTACTATATACACTACGTACTTTATTTTACGCACCTATTTTTCAAAAAAAATTATATAAAATTATATAAGTTTACTTTGATGATGATGATTAATTTTCTTGTCTAAAACACACAAAATTGAATCTTATTCGTAGCTTTAACCTAATAATATCAATATTTCTGCTGACGCTAAAATATCACAGGTAATGAGTCCATTAAGATGCATTATCAGCCCCCCCCCCAAAAATTTCATGAAGACTGCCAGAATGGGAGATTAAATATACAAATTACGTTACCACGAAGTCGTCAAATTAATGCTTGCCGGCGTATCAAATGCCAATAAGATATTCTATATTGTGATACGGATCAAGTGAATGTAAATTGACTTTCTTTGATCTTTCATAGTTGTCTTTAACAGCAGAATATTCGTGGTTGTATATTGTTATTATTTTCGGACCGCCATTTTGTTTGAAAATCATTTTGAGAATTTGAGAGATGATTTTTCAAATGTAGAAGATATCACCACACGCGCTGTGCCGTTTCAGTTTGTGTTTGCCCATGAAAATTTACGATGAAAGCGGCAAGTAAGACTCTGAAATGGCCATTTCCGAAGATCTAGAGCATTGAAATTCCAAAAAAGTTTCGCTCGGTGCCAACCATGGTGGCGCCTCGTGAAATTAGCCCCCCCAAAATATATTATGTTTCGCCGCCCCTGTCAGCATTAGTGCCTCACCGCGACAAAGGCTGTCATAATCTCATCCACAAATTCTCCAGCAATCAGAGTTACATCAACTGCTTTGCAGTTTCCTTTTAGAAGAGGTCTTAGCTTAAGTAAAAAGGTGGCTGTGTTTGGTCTCGTCTACACGTAAACATATTTCGAAATGCCATCAGTCTACCCAGTCCTTTGTTTCGAAATAATCGATTTTAGCTGAGTGCATGCTTGGGGAACAAACTCAACAAAGAACCACTCTACGTTTCGCTAAGACAAAGCTACAATAAGAAGAAGCCTTGTAGTCAAACCACGCTCTATTCCCGCCATCACCCTACTAGCCTACTCATTATATAAACCTGGTATATCCGCAGGACATGATGCTAAGATTATCGGTGTGTTTAAACAACGTATATTTACAGCATGTCCCAAAAAACTCTAGTCTTTAAAATTCAAACTAATCGTAATAAATGATCCGATTGCTTTAAAATGTGTTGAATTAATGCTTATTCGTGACAAAAACATGCCTTTTACAATGAATTAAGGTTTGGTGTACCGGAACAATTAACATTTTTCACGTCAAATCAACTGCATGGTATCAGTCAATTTTTCATTTTAAATAAACACATAAATTTCTATTTTTTCTGATCTGCACTCTAGTGCAATGCAGTGTATTACATTACACAGGGTGACCCCAAGAAGTACTCTGTATTGAAATTAAATATTTTGTTGTGAACCTGGGAATTTTTTGGGAATTTGTAACAACATTTAAAACAATCAGCAATACAGGGTGTCCCCCCAAAAAAGCAACACTTAAATATGCAGAACATTAATACAGCTCTAAAGCGCAATAGATAAACTATGGTGCAAACCAGAACAATATTAATATTCTTGCATATTCAAGTGGTTGCGTTTTTTTGGGACACCCTGTATATACGAGGATGTCAAATCACAAATTCGTCTTCTTGCGCCTATTCCCGTATGAACGGTGCAAATGCTTACAGAACAATTACTCCACAATTTCAAAACAAAAGGCTTGAATTAATTCAATGAAGTGTGTGTACATATACAATGTGTACATATAGCAACTCTAGCGGATGAATTATAATTCATCAATTAATTCTGCATTTTATTGCCTGCTAATACTGAAATATAAATATGTCCCGAAAAACGTGGGAGTTTTTATTTGAAATTTACGAGATCATATTAATAAAAAATGCATGGGGTATGTCGCAAATGTTCAGGACCCATGCATGTAGGGGATATGTCTGAATGAATATTTACGTGGAGATGTTTTTTTAATCACGATTGTCCAAACCATTGTTTCAGTTGATGGTTGGTCCGACATAGAGACATCTAGTTTCTTTCCCGTGATGTTAGTTTGATCAATTCTAAAGGATAAAATGGTGCATGAATTTGATGAACGAAATAATTAGCCTTTCTCATGATGACGTTCCCGGGCTACTTTCAATTTTCTCAAATGCGTTTAAAAAATTACAAAAGATTTTTTCAGAATCAACAGATCATTACTTCAATTCAATAAATTCAGCCAAAAATTAAAGACACTCGCCGTTATGAGATCTGACGCCTGTGTTCAAAAAGCTCACTCACACTCACACTCACTGAGTGTGACATATAAATTTTGTTAATGCTGATCAATGAGAAAGTTTTCTCTGAATAGATGGAAAGATATAAGGTAAATCACTAAAAATCAAGCCCCTATTCGGCTGGAAATACCGCCATTCAAACGTTATGAGAAGATTAAGATCTCCCACTCAATGAGTTTGAGTGTGAGTGAGCTTTTAGAATACAGGCATTAGGCTCACAGTTTCAAAAAACCGCGCAAAAAATGCCGAGATATTCGTCATTTGAGAAAGGCTATTTACAATGTAGATAGCGGTATAGGGTATATGTGAGTATATGGGAAAAACTACATAATCTAATCACGTGAAATTGAAAAACATACTTTTGTTGAATACCCGAAAAATATACTCCCAGGTGTTTAATTGCAGCAAACGCAAAGTTAACCAATCAATGACTATTTAATAAAAAATACGCCGGTATCATGATATAAACTGAAAAAAACTTAATACCTTTAGGGTTCTTTTCAAAGTTCTTTTGAACGTTTTATGATTCTTTTTCAGTTTGACGTCTAAGTAAGCATGAAAAGCAACGGTAAAGTTTAATCTTACTTGTCTGGGTATTAAAACCAAACCCGAATAATTGACAATACACCAATTTCCCTCCTATTTCCCAGTTGACAATACCACGTTTGGATTTTATATCATGAATCAATTGGTGTCACAAAGCGTGGTGTAATTTCCTCAACCTCATGCAGCAGTTTCATTCTTCTGAATCGTCCCTCTTAATTTTAATCTCGCATCAAATGCCCTTGTAATGAAGTGTACATTGATTTTAGCGTTTCTTCTATTCACCCTCCCATCCGCCATTCCAGTAACGGCGGGGCTTACGTGTGAAAGATACGTGTGAAAAATGAAGTAAATCAAGGATCAATTGGGTGGTTAACGGGTGGTTAAAATGTTAGAGTGCACAAATCCCTCATGCAGTTACCCACCAGTGCAAGTGAAAACGCCAACACGCATACAGATATCGTGTGCGGGCAGGCCAACACGAGCATTCCAATGTTGTGGATTGAATCTCACATATCGGGCGGTGACAGGAGGACTGATTACATTTTCACTAACAGTTTCCCGGTCCACATTTCCTTTTAGAGTCTACAAGATGATGTAAACGGTAAACCATTCGTTAAGAGATTTACAGTCATATGCACAGACAGCACAGTTACTTCATAAAATAGAGTAGTAAACTATAAATCGAAAGTTGGAGAAACACAATACCACAATTTTCATAAATATTAATTGCAGTCCAGTGATTAAAAGAATAATTGGGGGTGGGTGCATATCCATCTATTCAGTTTTCCCCTACGGATTTCTTTTATAAGGCCAATAGTTTACAATAGAAATCCGTGGGGTAGAAATAAATATATGTATAAACACGCCCCAATTATCGTTCTAGCCGGGCCTCTGCTGCAGTCCTAAACCGTTCTTCTCTGTTTGTCCAACAAACCTGGTTGTAGCATTTCCACGTTCTTCCGTCTTCGCTGTAGTTGAACTTGAAAAATGTTACCCAGTTATTCGACAACAAAGATGCCTGTCCTTGTGTGCCAACCTTGGCGATCTTCACCGGAAGTTTAAGATCAATTTGGATATATTGTTCTTGATTGTTCGATAACGATTCAGTATGCTCGGCACACCATGATCCTACAAATAAACGCATATACATCATTCATCAAAGAAGACTATTTTAGTAAACAAAAGATATGAAATATGATTTCTTATAACCAAAATTTATGCGTTCCAATCCATTACAGTTACCTGCGTTCATAACGTTATATAACCTTCCGTTACCAGGTCCATGCAGTTTCAAAAGAGTTGGATCCCCGGTGTCTCTTGTGTAGACCGATGAAGCACTCATTTGATTAGCATCAACAACGACATAATCAAAACCATTCGGGCAATCTGCAAGAATGCGTTTTGTGTCAAGTGGATGGGTTGGTTGATTATGAACCCAACTATCCAAATTCATGACCATTTGACAAAGGTTTAGGCTTTTCTTTAGCAGAAAAAATTGAAAACGGAGAATGGAAAGAAGGTAGGGCCAGTGACTTGAAAAAATTGTGCTATTTGCTTCAATAAGACCAGATGTAGGTTTCGGGCCAGGAACCATTAAAGAATACAAGTCGAGTTAAACAAACTGACCTCTGGAAAATAGGATGTTTTGTGCGACACCTTTTGCAGGATGAAATGGAAGTGGTCGTAGTGTTGTTACTTCTAGACCTAATAATAACATAAGGATATGTATATTTTTAAGTCTAATTTACGGCCTTCTAATCTAACGCGTTAAATCTTGCTATTATGCCTAATTATAATATATGCACATGCAACCTACCATCAGTGCAAGGGTATATATTACAGGCAGCTGTTTCTACAGTGGAACCAGCCAATTCTGTACAATTAGTTCCATTGTTGACAGGTATAGGATTATCACAACGTCGAAGTCTAACTTTTGTGCCCCCTCCACAAGACGCTGTGCATTGCGACCAAGGAGACCAACTGCTCCAACCTCCATTTACTAAGAATTCAATTTTTAAGAAAAGATTTCAAAAATAACATTATCAACATTAATTAACATTAGCAACTAGTTACTCCAACCTCCATTTACTACGAATTCAATTTTTAGGACAAAACTACAATAGGACGAAAATAATATGTTGTTCAAAAAATTCGGGTTTAAACCACTTCAATTCAAAAGGAAACAAAAACATTGCATGAAGGTGTCCGATAGACTAAACTGCTAAATATAGCGTTATTTAATGTGTCGAATTTGCAAGCACCATTGTCCATTTATTTCTTCTTTAACACTAACAAGGAGCAATCTTGTTTTAAACTGCAAATCTATTTAAATTTTTAGACCATATATAAGACAATCAGAATGCCTAAATTTTGAATACTTCATGAAAAATGGTGAATGTACTATTTTAACGAAAGTAGTCAATATTTATGAATACTGATTGTGTTACTGAAAGTGTCCTCGCTGTTTTTCAAACATATCCGTCAAAAACACAAATATTGTAATGAGTATAATGACGAATTACGAATAGTATAACCTTTATGTTATCCTTAGCATAACGCTTCTCAGACAATTTAAAAGTTAAAGTTGAATAGAAAATTAAAACCATTTAATAACCTAGGCAGATCTTGCCAGCGACGTTGTTTGCTTCCTTGAGGAGAGCGTCAAAATCAGCAACTTCAACAACCCGTTTATCACCAACGCGATCAAGGGTAATCATTTTCAGCTCTTCAGTAAGATCTGTCTGTTCAATTCCTGTCAGTCCGTACTTCACCCCCACACCAAATGTTATCACTTCATAGCTTTTTAAGCTCTCTGAGGGTTTTTCCACCAAATCTCGCCCGATCACCAAGCTGTCTTTCGACAACCTAATGTCATTGGTCGGGTTATCTGTGACGACAAGAAGGACCTTGCTCGCTCTTCTTTGACCGCCAGAAGCGAAAACAGCTAAAGCTTTACTTAAGGCAACGTCTGTCCTGGTTCCACCTGGCTCGTAGAATACGTTATCCAACGTCGTGCCAAACGCATCAGCGTTTTGGAAAAATCCTATATAAATTAACGTTATTTGAAAATGAGAATTTGAAAATATTATATGCTTAACATTGGAAACTTTGTGATACTTTAAGTTCTTTGAATGTTTTCATGACATTAATAGTAACGTTGTTCGTTTGTTTGTGGAAACGCCGTGTGAACTTTGTTTTGCAGTCTATTTGGTCCGGGCTTACGAACCGAAAGCTTTGCAAAACTAACGCCTGTATTCTAAAAGCTCACTCACACTCAAACTCATGGAGTGGGAGATCTTGAACTTCTCATAACGCTTCAATGACGTTATTTCCATAGGGGTTTGATTTTCAGTGTTTTACCTTAAATCTTTCCACCTGTTCAGAAAGAACTTTCTTATCGACCAGCATTAACAAAATATTTATGTTGACTAAATGAGTGTGAGTTTGAGTGAGCTTTTTGAATACAGGTGTAAATCTCAACTAAATCAAAGTATCAAACATACAAAATTACTTTGTCTTCATGCCGTAATTAAATAAAATAGTGCTTGTCATTATGCATGTCAAACAGTTTTTGAAGAACTCTTACGATCTTGAGTACGTTAAAGTCTGAGACATGCATATACCTAGAGGAATCGGAACTTCGGCATTTGTGTTGTAACGAATGACAGACAGCCTTGTCAAAGTCGGATCCAACGTTTTCACAACTGCTTTCGTGAAACGAACAAGTTTGGACCAGTTTGCTTCACGGATACTTTCTGAACTGTCCAAGGCAATAACCAGATCAAGTGGCTTATTACACGTCAGGTTTCCTACCAAAAAATTGCAATATATAATTCAGTGACTATATAAGTTATCACGAAGGGAGAAAAAAAGGGAGAAAAAATTTTTGGGTAAAGATTTTGACGTATGCTTATACGTCGCCACCCTTTCTGTGGGTGTTGCTCCTGCTCTTTTTTCACTTCATTATGTCTTGAAAACAAGGCTTTTTCATTGGTTGACTAAAAAATATCGCCATTTTGCAACCTTTAAATATTTTTATCGAGGACCAACTGTTTGGATGTTAATTTTCACATTTATTCACCCACCGGCTTTGTCAGATTCTTCTTGAAACCAATATTCGTCAATTGAACTCTTCGTTTCTTCTGATTCTTTGAAACTCTTTCCAGTCATTGCCTTTACGTGAACTGGATATTATAGGCAAAAACATGAATCTCATGCTCGATTATTCCTGTTGCACGTGGGTATAAGTATATGGATCGATGGTTAAATTTTAAAGACTTAAAGACAAGGAGAATTAAACCGCAATAATTAATGAATTTTAAAAGCATCTCGCCACACAGACATTAAAATGAAACACGCAATATTTACTGTTATGAAAATTATCGTGTCATGCGGTTTCTTACAATCCAAAAATGAAATCAAGCAATTAGCATCAAATTCCCAAATGATACAATCAAAGTACCAACCTTTTGGCTCAATGAAGTTTTTTGATTTCTCTTTTTTCTCCACTTTTCCATGTGAATTCTTAGCTAAAAAGCAACATGCATATATAATTACGTCTCACAAATTCATCGTAAAAATGGTTTTTTACAAGTTGTCAAGTTTTGTCAAGTTAAAGCGTATAATTATGCAGTTAACCTTTTCGGTGTGATTGCCCATATTGCGCTATTTTACACATTATAAAGAAGTATACTTCTCTTCGCTGCTTCTGAGAAATGATGGTTTTACATATGAAACGCAGAGCTTGAGAACGATTAACGGGAGTAATCCCGGAATTTTATTGTACCTATGCATGAGAATATTCTACGCAGGACTACTAATCTTGTTATTTTAGTTTTAGTAACCGTCTAACTATAGGTTAACTGGGGGAGAGAAAAAAGTATTCTGTAAATGGAACACAAGATATAATAACGCCGTTTGGCGTGGAACAGTCCCTATGATATTCCCTAATTAGATCTTTATTTATTAGGGGATGTTATATAATATAGGGGTTGTTCCACGCCAATTAAACGGCGTTAAATTATCATATTGTGTTCCGTGCACAGAATATTTTACTTTCTCCCCCTTTTATGTATAGCTACACTCTGAATTCTCACAAGAATAGCAGCGTGATACTGCAACGTGTTGAGTTTTTAAATTCCCATTGAGATGATAGGAAAAGATGTAAGATAATATGAATCGTTTATACAATCATCGCAAATTTTACGTTCGGTTTTAAACCACGAATTATAGAGCACTTCACATACACTGCATGTATATTATTTTATGCCTTATTAAACAGGAACTGCATGAAATTGCATAATTCCTTAGCTATATTTTAATTCGATTTTTATCAAATTAAAATTATGATCAGTAGGCTTTCATAAATATATATGTATTAATTATATTATTTATCCATGCATATATAGATGACTCTCAAATATATTTTTTAAAAACCCGTCGGGCTCTTATTAATTTGAGATATCAGAAAAAATTACTTTACAGTAAAACACGGATCATCGTAGACAGAGATGCTCGAAGGAAACATTTTGAAAACTTATTTTGATTTAACCTGTTGTAAAAGATAAATAATACGTACCTTTATTCGATTTCTTTCCCTCGCCCAAACTACAATGCAACGATATAGCTAAAATAGCAGCAACCAGAAGAACGCTTTTTAAAGGTGACATTTTTTTCCGATAAAATCTTCTGCCGCTAATTGTTCATTTGGTATGGTAATTTTTTATTGCGGGTAAGAAGCGGGAAGAAAGATTGTTTTCTTTTGCTACCTGATTGTTGGCGAATTGGAGACGAATGTTTACGTTAAGTTGAAGTGATGCTCGAAAGATTATCGTGGCCGCACTAACCAGTGAGACTGTTTTCGAACGGGCACCTGTTAAGATGCAGGTATAATTATATATTTATATATATATATATATATATATAGATCGATGATGGTTCATAAAGTTTTTCTTTAGTTACTTTATATATGGCAGTTTTATATGTCTTTTTCGTTTCCTGTGCTACAGGCGCGCGATCGCGTATATGTTTATGCTTAAAACGTATACGTTTATTAGGGAAATACAACCATCACAGGGATCCTTACGAAAAAAACACATGCAAAAACCACATGTGGAATCACATGTGACTCACATGTGAAATTGGAACCATTATATCACATGTGGTTCACATGTGGTGGTATCACATGTGGTTCACATGTGGTAGTATCACATGTGGTGGTATCACATGTGAGTCACATGTGGTTCAGTACATGTGGATCTGGAACAACCACATGTGGTTCACATGTTAGTCTGTTTTGACGTTCACATGTGGTTCACATGTGATCCACACAAACTACTGCATGACACCTTTAATTATCATTAAATCACTCAGACACAGTATTACCAGGTGAAGTAAATTAATGCACATATATTGAAAACCATATTACAAAATGAAGTGAAACATTTGACTATGTTAAAGAGTAAAAGATACATCTGTAAATATAAAAAAATGAATTATAATACTATAATTTATTTAGTCATCCTACTGTCTTAATTGTTGCTAAGATCTTCCTGATTCTTTCTTCGGTTTTCCATTGACAGCCTAAATTCTTTGCACTCTTGTGTCATAACAGCTTTTAAAATTGTATTATTTGCTTGAGGAAATTTCATGATGACAAAAGCTGGAAAAAATATAAACAGGATTGTTAATTAATAGCAATTGCAGTTCATCGCAAACAATAAATAATTTAAAGTCAAATATAATTTCATTGCCTACAAAATAAAACATTAAATGGAAAGTGAGAATGTTATCTACTGTATACAAAAACATTAACAAAATAACAATCCATTCTTCTGAGAAACTGCTGTTGTTCATGGTCAACAGTGAATAAGGTTGTGCAGACCTAGGGAATGGCTAAGGGAAGGAATGGCTGAGGCAAGAAAGAGGCTTGAATCTTAGGAAAAGATGGTGGAACTTTGATGGTGTACATATTTTCTTGGTTGCAGCAAGTGCTGCTAAAACTGCCTCTTTAAAGTCTTAAATCCATCTGGCCATGTTGCTCAGTTGGTAGTACCAATCTGATACTGTGAGGCTTTTAGACCCAGCCAAAACATACAAAATATTTGAAATATCATATGTAAAAATACATTAATTTCTTCTAAATTAGGTGTTTAGAAAAACAAAATTCTGCTATACTGTATACAGAATATTGCTACTGTTTATAAGACTCCAAAGGTTATTGAATTAAGTTAAGGTGCAAGGGGTATTCCCTAATTTAGACCATATTGTGTACCGGTATATATCAAATGGTAATATGTTTCAAACCTTTATATTCTTCTTTGGTTTCTTATTGTCAGCACTGGTCACATCTAATCGCCTCTTCTTGGCTTTATTATCATCACTGTTATTATCACTGTTATCCTCCAACTGCTCAATTCAAGCTAAGTTTTCATTAGTAACTCATTCTTGCTATCTGTGAAAAAACACAAATACTCGCTTTAGAAAATTTATATATACACAAATATTTTATTGCTATACACAACTAAGTATGAGCGAGCGAGATGTGCACATGTTTGGAAGATAACATTCCACACGACTATATATCCCAGTCTCAGTTGGAAGGACATGTTGATCTAGAAAAAACTATAAACAATATATTTCTAGCGCATATAATGTCACTATGTTCTGCTTCTTTCTTTGCTAAAACATTATTACACCGCTATTGAGGATATTTCCCGGCTATCACTAGTGTGTATGAGCGAAGTATTTATACGAAGATGAATGATGATTGATAAAGTTGAATAAACAATCTTCTGATTACAATAATACAATTCGATGCGGACCTAGGTTAAATTATTTTATTATTATTTAAGTGTCACTGAGATGCTTACCACTTTCTGCCAAAACGTTTCAAAATACGATTTCCATGCCGTCTTTGGGGAATTCATCTTTGAGTATCCAAACAAAACCATGCGATCCTTCTCGGGATGTTTTAGCATGCACACTTTTGTCTTTAAATAATATATTCTTTCTTTAAGATGCTTGTCTTATTTGACTCAATCCAGTGAACCAGCACCTATTTCATTTCCAATCGTATTAGGAGAGTGACAAAGATTATCCTTTTATGTCTTTTATCAAATAAAATTGCAATCTCCTCGTAGAACAGCCAAGAATGTCGTTGTAAAAAATTTGAATTTTGAAACGAATGCGCAACCTCGTTCCCAGGGTTTTCGCCTAATGTGGCGTCACACTTGTCGGTCGTTGGGGTTATTACACCGGTCGGAGATTGGCCTCAGATTTATAAATATTAGGACGAATGTATTATTACAACGAGGCTGAGTTTACTATTCGCTCATAGCCAACGAGGCTGAGTTATCTTATTGTTTTATTGTAAACTATAGCATTTAATAAGCAGCAGAATTTTGATATAATTTAATAACCCGGCATATATAGACAATCCAATGAATATCCACAAGACATCTTCTGGATTGTCTTAATCAGCAGTGTTTTGATGTAAATAACTTTATTTGTAGATTACCAAATATGTTAGATAGAGATTAATTGTAAATAAGAAGACAACTTAAATATACAGTGTTACTTAAACTGAGCAAAGCAGTAACTATTATTTAGATGATTATGCACGTGTATTTGGGGAATAGGTATGTGGTATATGTATGCATTCACATTACAGAAGTTTGCTGATTCATTATTAGTTTGAAATACATTTTCATGTCAACCACATTTCGTTCACATAGGTTTATACATTTTCACATGTAAGCCTTGTGTGATCGCATATAAACCACATGTGATCACATATGAACCACTTGTTTGTAGAGACATTTCTCATGTGAACCACATGTGTATCTCATATAACCACATCTGCATCACATGTGGTTCACATGTGCCCTCATAGAACCACATGTTTTCACATGTGAACCTCATGTGTATCCAATATAACCACATGTACATCACATGTGGTTCACATGTACCCTCCATATAACCACATGTGAACTACATATAATCACATGTGATCACATGTGATCACATGTGATCACATGTGAAGCACATGTGATCACATGTGAAGCACATGTGGTTCACATGTACCCTCCATAAAACCACATGTGAACCACATATAATCACATGTGATCACATGTGAAGCACATGTGATCACATGTGAAGCACATGTGATCACATGTGAAACACATGTGAAACACATGTGGTTTGCATGTGTTTTTTTTGTAAGGGGAGGCAGGGCCATAGGTTCGAACCCATTTCAGCACTCCAGGCAAACGGGATGAAGAGCTATAGCATTTATCGCGTATAACAATTCCTGCATCTTAGGAACAAAAAATTCGTATCTAAGTTTACGTTTGTCTATATATATTGTCCTTTCTCACGAGGACGTTAAACGTGGGATGCAAATGTCACACAGAAAAAAAACGAAAAAAAACTAAAATGAATCAATTAACTTCATGTAACATGCTATACTTCTGTTGACAATAACTAATCGAATAAGTACGTATATATACATGCAATAACTACTGCATGTATGTATCTTTATAGTGCCGGAGACTTCGGAAGCGAGTTGGTTTTGAAGCAGCACATAGTTTCCAGAGGCACTTCCTGGAAACCAAGTACTCTTCGTAGCCTACAGCCAACCGCGATACTCAAATAATAATTTTAAAATTTGGAAGGCGTAAAAGGAACAAACAGAAACGCTATAAAAAAATTGGCTTACGGTGGGTGCTAAAAAAAGAAGCCCCCGAAGAAATATATCCATATAATGCATACCTAATGCACTATATAATGCAGATATAGGTAACAGTAATGCATATACCTATATATCTTTTCAGTATAATTAAGGTAGCACCAAACATAGCATTTTATGCTATAACAAGCTGCAAACTTGGCAAAACAAGATTGTAGCAATACTGTTAGATGGAGACCAAGTAATCCAACAATAATCTTGTTAAAAAGTTGTCCCATACTTTTCGACAGCTCAGGACAAGCAGTGCGAACACAACTTGTTGCAATTTGTTTGCAGACTTGCTACAAGATGTGTTATTTTTACGCGTGTATATATAACGAACGTTACACTGGGGTGGCTGTCGCAATCATTTCCTTTAAGAGACGATGGCGCCTCACTAAACGCAAGAAAACGCGTCACTAGATGATTGTAAACTGTGAAAGCATCCTGCAATTCATTCAACTGAAACTCGTTATGCGTCTGGTGAATTCATAATTTTTTAATATCTATATAGGAAAACTTTTATGACTGCCGTTTATTAATAGTATTCGCAAACGTTAATTTCTCTGTAATTTATTCTTTAATATAGCTATAATAATAGTAGTATATAACCACAGTCATAAGATATGATAAGTCAATTTAAGTCAATTTTATTGCTTTTATATTATGATATGTGAGGTACATATATAACATAGCATCTTGCAATATGGATACAATGCGCCAGCTTGCATAGTAAAACATATTTATGAAAGAACTCAATAGCTTACTGTGTTTTCTTGAGAGCATTCTCAAAACACAGAGCTCTCTCTGTAGTTTTATCTTAAGCATTCTGCTTTGTATAGTCTTTACTATGTAAATAATACTATATATTTCATTAACTCTGCTGCAAGATTAATCGTTAAATTTAATGAAATTTATAAGCTATGGCAACCTTCAGTCAGCCGTTAGAGCATGTTAGTTATTAAGAGTTTCATATACTTTAATTTCAATATAAATCGAAGAGCAAAACAGCGAAATCGTAAAAATCGTGCTTTTACAATAATTATATATATATATATTTTATATATGTATTCAGCGTTTTAACGGCGAAATTACCTGAACTAAACTTTGTCTATGGCACTACGTTACGTGTTCACTTCTGATTGGTAGAATACATCTGGTACATGCAGATCATCGTTTACATTACAATTTATAAGATGTTCAAAGTAAATTATTTTTGCGATTTGTCCTGCCTGTTAAGGGAATCGCACAAAGGAGTTGCCATGCAGTTTGACCCTGAATATCATATCTAATATCGGATACGACAGCAAAACTGCAAAAGTTTTTATTACTTAAAAGAAACGATGTGGACGCCATCTGCACATAAATATTCTTATACTTCAATAGTTCTGATTGGAATTCTCGGCAATGTTTTGGTTATAATTTCCATATTATTGAAACGAGGAAGACTGTTGAAGAACAACTACTACTTTCTTGTTTTACACCTCGCCATCTGTGACCTGGGATGGCTGGTTGTAATAATTTGCACTGAAGTTCCATACACCATCTTTCTGAGCGAAACGCCGTCCTCCAAAGCTTATTGTCTCCTATCTAGAATATTGTTTGTCTTTTACTTCGCAGGAATATGCATGATGTTGAATATGGCAGTTCTTCGATATCGCGCTACTGTTCATCCCTTAAAACCGGACATCAGCAGAAAAAAGTTAAAAATAATTTGTAGTTTGGGCTACATTATTGGCCTGATTGCAGGCTACGCGGGAAGTACGACGTTATGTTTTTTACAGAAAAACTCCCTTGCTCACACGACCTATGCGAGGTTCTACTTTGCATCCTATTTACTTCCTTATTATGTTCCAACGGTCGTTATGGCAGCGCTTTATTATAAAGTGTGTCGGGCACTCATGGACCATAAAAAAGGCCTGAAGAGCTTATGTTTGAATCAATTGTCACCAAGTACTTCTGGCTCGTCTTTACCAATCGTAAACTATGTTAAAAATCACCGAACTTTTCTTATTTGTGCCGCAACCGTCCTCTGCTATGGAACTGGAAATCTTCCCGGGTGCGTGTCTGTTATCTTGTGGATCGTAGGCGAGTGCAATCATCAACTGATGAATTGTATTTCCCTGGATCATTTAGCAGCACTTTTTAGAACCGCTGGATCGTGTTCAATTAATCCTATTATATATGGAATATTGGACAAAAAATTGCGCACAATTTGGAGAAGTTTTTTCAAGAGAAAACGAAGACAACATGACACACTATAGTTCTTGGTATACAGTGGAGAGACGGCGCTTCCAGCTACATAATCTATGCACTGTAGGCTCTCGCCTTTGAAACGCGAGACTTAATTTCATGATGTCCCACTTTCCTATCATAATCAGTGGCGTAGCCAGCTTGACGATTTTGTCCCGCTATGTAAATTTCGAGTTATTATAATTATTCATATCTTAGAAATTCATTGTTTTCGCAGTCAATAAACACCAAAGTATTAGCATAGCGGGACAAATTGTCAGGCAGGCTACGCTAATGATCATAATCAGGGCCTGTCTATATAAGTTGTGAAAAAAATTAGCTAGATTTTAGATAGACCTTAAGGTAAAAATGCTTGTTGTTTAATTATCTTCAACGGAATCATTATAATTTATATGAAAACCATGCAATGTATCTAATATATATATTATATATATATATATATATATATATATATATATATATATATATATATATATATATATAGGTTGACTAACTCTATAGTATAGCGTGCTATATATACTATAGTAATAATATTAACATAACTCTATGGTATTGTGTAGTATAGTATATAGCGTATCATGTCTTGAATAGTTTAGTAATCTGTGGGTGTTCTAAGTACTACTTTTTTTGTGCAAATTTGCACGAAATTAATTTTTCATTTGAGATATAAATTAATAATAACTCTTCTTTAGGAGAAAATGCATTGTTGTATCATTTGGCTGATCATTTTAATAAGACAGAGCTATATTGAAAAAAGTCGTAATTTTACTTTGTAATAAAGTCGAAAATTTACAGTCTCAATCTGTGTCTTGTTTGAATTATATTTTGATTCTCAAGATGTCTTGTTTGTTCGGAATTTGCTTTTTACTTTAGAGCTATATTGGTTTGTAGTATTTCGTTGTATAATAAAAATAAATTGATATAGCGTTTAATGAAGAAAATTTTAAATTTTGTGTAAGCTTTCCTGGCAATAAATTATTTACCCTTTAAATTTGAATGACTGAACGTGCGAGGCGCGCTGAATCTACAGTAGGGGGCAAAAGTTTGAGCCCGGTCGTTTTAGAATTCCAGTATTAAATCCTGGCAGCGTATTCGAGTTAAGACATGCGTGCTAGACTTCAGTGGCGTAGCCAGCATCGATAATTAGGGGGACTCATATTCATATTTTCGTGTTAACAGACTGTAGAGACAATTGATTTGAAAAGAAATTAATCCTGCGTATCACGAATATATGAATATTGGCCCCCCAATTATCGTTCTGGCTACGCCACTGGTGGTAGTGTTTCAATTCTGTAAACCATATTAATTGCACAGTGTTTTGGTCCTATTGATCTAAATTATAACAAAATAAAGCTCTCATTCCTTTACACTACCCAAGATGGGAGGGAAAAAGGGCAAAGTGATGGTGCAC